CAGGGTTTTCCTTTTTTTTTTTTCTTTTTTTTTTTTTGTCCTTGTTTTCTCACTAGGTGTAAGGCGGGGTTTGTTACACCCTACCTCCGAATTAAAGTGTAATTTCATAAATCCCCTAAAAATTTTATAAAAAAATGATTTTTGGGTCTTAAATGGTGTGCCCAAGTAGCTCACCCCTGATATATGTCCCCTGTCTCCAATGCTCTCTCTCTTCTCTCTCAGTTCTCTCTTCTCTCTCTTCTCCCTCTGTGATCTCTCCCTTCCCTCTCTCGAAACCCTCTCACCTTCCGATCCACCCACACGCACACCCTTACCATTTACCTGCAACACCATCAGCATCACCCCTACGAACTAAGATTCAAAGAAAGAACACCACAAACCCTTCTTTTCCTTTTGACCGGTACTGTTCATCATCTTATCCATCGTGTTTCGTATTTTTCCGATGTTGGTCAGCTTCAACTTCTAGAACCCATTGGGTTGTGTTTTAGGGTTAGATCAAAGCTTGTTTTAAGTGATGTATAAGTGTGAATCGCAGAAAATAGCTCGGAGTAGCTTTTCTAAATTTTTCGACCAGCGCGGCCCCTTTCAAGGAAATTTCCAACCAAATCACTGTGAGTTGGCCATCATGCAAGGTATCAATCTCTTCATCTCATTGATTACTACAACTTTCGTTTTTGAATCACCCAATTTCGTTGAGTATTGAAGAAGTTATATCCATTTGAATCTTACCCAGTTTTAGGTAACCTCTTAGACTTTTGAGGCATTTTCAGGCCAAACCACTGCAAGTTAGCTGTCATGCGAGGTCCCATTATCTTTATCTCATCGAGAACTATAACTTTCATTTTTGTTTCACTTGATTTCGTTGAGCGATGAAAAAGTTATGGGCGCTTGAAGTGATGCCCAGAAACTGGCCAAAAACTTGGCTTGAAAACAGATCAAACCCAACCCAGATCCTTTGAACCCAGTCCAAAACCTTGCAGCCCAACCCAAGCCATTGGGCCAAGCCTTTAAGGCTGAACCCAGGCCTTAGGCCCAGCCCAGGTTCCAACCCCCATTAGAACCCAAGTCTTTTTTGAAACCAAAACCTTAGGCCTTTATGACCCAAGCCCAATCCCTTTTAAAACCCAAACCCAACTCCAAACCATTTGACCCGACCCAGTCAACGGTCAATGTTGACTTTGACCTTGACCGGTCTATGGTCAACGTTGACTTTGACCAGTGACTTTTTTGGTTTTCGTTTGGGACCCCTCTTAGGCTAATTTCAACGTCCTGAACTCGTTTCCGATGTCTGTTTTCCCAAATTACATCATTTGAGTAGAGTTTGAGTAAGTGTACCCTTTATGTGCTTAAGGATAATTATTTGTGGCGTTTCCGTCTTCACTAATTGCGTGGCTCTTCGGCGGTGAAGTATTGTGAGTAGACCCCTTCTAAAAATGCATGTTTGAATAGTAAAAATGCATACATAAAAAACATGATTTAATGATTACGTTTTATGAGATAACATGTTTATTGAGGCTAGTTTGAATTATTACTATTTTTCCTATAACCCATGTTCTTTATAGGATATATGATGGATGACGATATAATATTTAGAACATGTTTCAAACACCTCTTTATAGTATAGATGATGGATGACTTTATACTATGAAGTTGCTTTTCAATACATGTATGTTCAATGGTTTTGTACTTACCTGGTCGTCCTAATTCCGCTATGAGACGAGGGATAGATGCCAGTCCGTCCTGGGCGACGGTTATGGTGTTGCCATAAGGCCTGAAGGGTTTTTCCTCTGGCTATTAGCACATGGACAGGAGCTGGCATGGGGCATGGGGGTAATTTTCCTCTGGCTGTTTGCACAGAGACGAGGAGCTGGCATGGGGCCTGGAGGGATATTGGACATTCATTAGTGATTATTATCTATACAAGATATGTTTTGAGACATTGCACGACATGCTATGTTTCAGAAAACCTATATTATCATGTTATATGTGTTTTCAAAAAGCTAGAGGGTTAGTATGTTGATCCCTGTTTTATTTTATATATATATATATATATATATATATATCAACTTGATTCACTCATGTTTGTTTTGTGCCCCTTCAAGACTAAGAATCGAGGCATATAATCCCGGCGTCTAGGCACTTCCGCATCAGCTTTTTCGAGTTTTCTCGGTGTAAGACCCGTTCTTTGTTTCATTCAATTTTATATTATTTCATTTAACGTTCTAGATTAGATGTGTGCTTTGAACATGTTCCTTAAATGCATATTCATTATTATTATTATTATTTTACATTTATAAGTCTTATCTATTCTTTGTTTTCAGCATTTGCATTCAATAAATGGCTTTCGTCACCCTCGGGTGTCAGCCAGCACGTGTCTATCTTGGTATTCAGGGAATATTGAGATCGGGGCGTGTCAGGGTTTTTCGGCATTCAAACTTTGGATTTATATGCACCAGCATACACATAAAGATGGAAGGGAAATCGAGTTAATTGGTTGGACCAAAGCATTCCAAATTTATGTGTCGAGTCCAATGCAGACTTTTAAGAGACGTTAAAGGTATCGTCAGCATGACCTTTTGTGTCAATTATACAACATTATGTGCAAGTTTCGTATGGTGTTGAAGGTGTTTAAAGTTTTACAAAATAGGTTAAATGATCTCATGCTTCTACTCTCATCACCTTGAAATGCTTGAATGGTTACATTTTAGAATGGTTTTAAAGTAGGGTATTCATGTATTTGACTAAATGGCCACACGTTTCCCACTGATAGGTATTCGTTGTATGCGTTTAGTTTGAGTGACACCAATTTCGTATAAATAACTTGAAGCTTATTTGTCCAAATACTTAAACGTCAATAGATATTCATTCTTCTTACATTAATATATAGTTATTAATAAACGTTGCAATTCTTCTTCCTTGGAAGTAGAAATTACTGCATTCCTATCGATTGTATATACTCATAGTTCAAACTCTGTGCATAAATAACTCACAGAAAAATACAAAATAAAAAGTTTATACATATGAGTAAAACTATAATTGGTGGGAAAATAAAAAATCCCACTTCCAAAAGAATGAGGCAAATAGGGGTGGGTGCTTCAGACCAAAAATTGAAATCGAAACATGGATCAAAATGGACTTACTGAATGGTTTGAATTTTGCATTTTTGAAACTTTAGGTTTGAAACAAATCCGAAAGCTAAAATAATGTTTTCGTTTCGGTTAATATTTGGAAACGAACCGAACTGCATAATGTAAAAAAAATCAATTTAATTAGAAAATTTGTTTTGATACATGAAACAAACCCTATATAATGTATAGTGGTTATTGGTTGCTGGGATTTATTTTCCCCCTTTGGTTTTGAAACAAACCCTAAAATGATTTCCTTGAATTTTAGTATGGTGGTTATCAATTTGGGTTTTACTTACTATTAATTGTTCTTCTCTCCCGTTTGGGGGCCAAAACAAACTAAAGAAAACTATGAAAATAAAATTAAAAGAATGGTTAGGAACTGTAAATCGAAACAGGCCTCTCCCATTTGGGGGGCCAAAACAAACTGAAGAAAACTATGAAAATAAAATTAAAAGAATGGTTGGGAACTGTAAATCGAAACAGACTTGTAAGGTAAGCCCAATTTTTTAACAGGCTTTGCGTTAGTCCCAAACCGAAAACCAAAATCGTTTGAAATCAAACCAAACCACAATAAATTTTGGTTTCGGTTTCGATTTGGATTTTACCTGGAAATTGAACTGCAATAAATTTCAGGAAAAGAAAAACAAAGGTAGGAATTGCGCATCCAGGGAATCGAACCCTGGTCAGTACCGTGGGAGGGTACTATGATACCACTACACCAGATGCGCTTGCCCGTTCGGGCATCTTGTTTTTTATTAATAAGAAGTGGGCCATGCCCAATTTTCCACCATCCATTTGTTGGGTTCTAATTTTGGACATTTCGAAATCTATTCCAATATAGGCTCCAATGTGTGTATGATTAGAATATAAATGTTGTTCATAAAACCATTCAAATATTTGTTACCCAAAATGATTCATAAGATTGATATAACTTAGCAGCTTAATCTCTAATAATGAAAAATCAATAGAAATAGTCATAGAGTTTGTCCATCATAAATCATTTTGGTTCTTTTGTTAAGTTTTCGTTAAATATAGTTAATATGATGATGTGGCACATGAGTTGTCCCACCAGTTCAATGACGATTTTTTTTTTTTTAAGGTTTGTTTTTTTTTTTTTTTTTTTTTGAAGAATAATTTTTTGTGGTAATCCACATGGTGACACATGATTAGATTGGTGGGACCACTCATGTGCCACATCATCATACTAACATAAAATATAATGGAAAGACCAAATAATTAACGATAGACAAACTTAATAACTATTTTTATCGATTTTCATTATTAAGGACCAAATAACAAAGACCATTTTAGCTAAAAAGTCATATTTATTTTATGTGTTGAGCTACCTATCAATTGACTAATATTTTAACTACACGTGAGTGGTAGATTGAAACAAAACTATTATTTTAACCCGTACGTTTCGTATGTTGGTCAACTTGTGAGTTGACACAAACATCAAACTTATAAATAGATAAAGCCAAGCATAATTTATCGTTGTTTGAAGTTGAGTGTCGAGATTTTTACTGTACACCAATGTATACCATACAACATGTAATCATTAAATCATTGTTCGTACATTTAACGTTCAATCATTCGACGCATGTTATACACCAGTGTATAATACAACTGTTAATTCCGCATTACAACGATTGGAGACTGCTTTTGACTCTTTGACTTGTTTTGTGCACGTTTGGTTTGCTTGGTCACCGCTTGGGAGGCTCCACCGGCCATAATAGTTGCCACTTTTCAATTCCCAATTTCTTCACATGTTTATCTCATTTCATCGAGTTCACATCCTGACGAAGACCCTTTGACTTCACCGACAGTCCACTTACCCAAAAACCCCACGTGATCAAATGCCACCATGAATCAATTTTTTTCACTCTCTATATAAACACCGTCTCTTCCACTTCCCCACAACACAATACATTCTTTGCTAATTCCAACTAAGAGGAAAAAAAACAAAAAAAAAAAAGGCTCCTGCAATGGCCTGCTCAAGCTCTTCAAGACCCAGTTAGTGTTTCTTCATTTTTCTTTCGCAATAACCTTACGGCTAAAACACGTTTTTCGTCCCTGTAGTACCCTCTAGTTTTCTCGAAACTCAACTTTCGTGTCTCGGTAGTTTGTTTTTTCATCATCATTTCTGTTCACGGACATCCGTCAACGTAAATACTATCTTGTTTGAAATTCAGCAAATGTGATAGTTTTGTGCACGATATTAACTGAGTCAATGTGTCACATATTGTGTTGAATTGATGGTAAACGTTGCTGTTTCATTTTTTTCTGCAGCAAAAGTTCAAGAACTCAACGTGTACGAGATCAACGAGCGAGATCGTTCAAGCCCTGCGTATCTCAGTTTAAGCCAGAAACCTGTGCATGCCCTCGGAGACCTTGTGCCCTTCACTAACAAAGTATTTTCCTTTTCCTTTTCCTTTAAAAATTATGTTTACAAATAAAATTTCATTGGATTAGGTTTACATTTGCTAATATACCTCCGTTGTCTGAGTGTAATTGCAGATATACACCGGAGATCTTCAGAAACGATTGGGGATAACGGCGGGAATCTGCATTTTGATCGAAAACAAGCCGGAGAAGAAAGGAGATCGATACGAGGCAATTTACAGCTTCTATTTCGGGAACTACGGCCACGTGGCGGTTCAGGGGCCGTACTTGACTTACGAGGACACGTATCTGGCTGTGACTGGTGGGTCTGGGATTTTCGAAGGGGTGTACGGGCAGGTGAAGCTGCACCAGATTTTGTTCCCCTTCAAGGTTTTGTACACATTTTATCTGAAGGGGATTGAGGATTTGCCTGAGGAGCTTACAAATGTGAAGGTTGTTGAGCCCGGCCCTGGTGTGGAGCCCAGCCCTGCTGCCAAGGCCTGTGAGGCCCATGCCACCGTGTCCAACTTCACCAGCTGATGAGAATTGTAGTACGAATGAGAGGAATTGGATGAATATGGTATTTAATTAAATGTTTTGTGTGTTTTGAAGTCAATGTATCGTTTTGAACAATGCATTTTATATATCAAGTGAGATGACAACTTTTGATGCTTGTTTAGTAACACTCTCAAGAGATGAATCTCAAAAATATGACCAAACAATTCCTATCTCCAAGAAGAGTCAAACTAGATAAAGACGAATATGAAGAGCCCAACCACCACGAGTTTATATCAAAAAAACGGTTACCGTTTGATGAACTGGACATGATAGGTTATGTATTTTGAAATTATTAGGCTAGAATTGGAAGGAAGAGGTTGGAAAGTTGTCCCTAATTTGGTGTAAACAACTTAACCGGATTGGTTCGGATTGAAATAAATAAAAGCATACAACAACCACCATCCATCTCTCACTGCAACAACCTTCGCAACCCATCGAATAATCAACTCACGATGCCGCTTAAGACCCACCACAACGCTCGCGATGCTTATAGAACGTTGTAAAGATGTCAGCTCGCCAAAATTGTGACCGAAGTTGAGGATGAACGCTAGACTTTGTCGCCTGAACAAAGAAAGAAGAGAGGATGGCGACGAAGGCGGAGGGGATTGGCTTCATAACCCATGGGTTGTGTCAAGTTACATAACCCAGATTATTATGAGCTCAATCTTTTATTCCGAATCCAATATGTGTTACAATTTAGCTCATCAAGCATGAGCGAAGTTACAAGTCCAATTTAAAAAAAAATAACATGTTCCAAACCACCAAACGGGCCTAAAACCATCAGAAAGGTGAGAGAGACCACAAGAGAAAAGAAAGAGGTGGAGGAGGAAAGATCAAATCGGCCTTTAGAGGCCAGGAAGTTTTTTGTTCTCTCTTTTGTAATCAAGAGTTAAATTAACAAAGAACTATGCTACAAAACTATTCGCCCTTTCATTTTATTAGGATATTAAGAAGCCCATTAGGATGCCAAGCTCACCAAGAATACCGCCATTAGTATGTATCATGTCACAATGCTAGTGAGATAAATATGATTACATGTTAGAATCCCTCGAAGGCCAAACTTGGCAACAAAATCAGTGTCCATCTTATTACTAGGTGTGATAATTTTTTTTTTTTTGTGAATAAATAATATTATCTACACTAAGAGGGTGTGGAGTGAGGCTAAGCCTCATAATGTGATTCAAATTTACCTTTGACGAGAATCGAACCTAAAGACATCTCACTTACAAGTAAAGAGGAGTACTATTAGACCATACTACTAAGTGACAAGTGTGATAAAATTTTTTTTTAACTTGGCTTGAAGTGAATGCAAGTGAATTCCGGACATGACATGATATTTCAAAGGGTGAACTGTCAATTTAATCCCTGAATTGTCACCTCAGTGAAAACTAGGTCTCTAAACTATTTTTTTTCAAAAAAATCAGTCATTGAATTATAATAATCTGCCAATTACATCCCTAATATTATATTACAAGCTACTATATTCAATTGAAGTTATGTTACTTAGGTTAGATTGGTAGTTTTTCATAAAGAAATAGTGTATGAAGTTAACTTTGGAGGGTAAATTGGTAGTTTTCTTTTATAAGAAATAGTGTAAGTTAACTTTGAAGAGTAAATTAGACGTTAGATTCACAACCTATATGAAATGTTAAGAGCTTATAGGCAAGAAAATGATGGTATTACACTTTAAAGTGTGTTAAATGACTTAAGTTGACAACAAATTGGATAAAATAGCTTTGAATATAATAGTAGGGATGAAATTAACAATTTTTAATGAATTTAGAGACTTATTTTGCCGAAAAAATAATTTAGGAACCTAATTTTCACAGAGATGTTAGTTCAAGACTAAATCGGCACTTCACCCTATTCCAAAATAAGTAAATTTGATAGTCCATGTGGTAATGTACGTCACACCAAAACATTCATTAAATTTTAGGTTAATTAATTATTTGATGCAAGATATGATGTGATTATTCGTTAAGTTAAGTTAAGTTATAAGATGGCGCAAATCACTCGATACGTTAAATTATGATCAATTTAAAGTAATTCGATCTCAGGACAATAAGTAAGTTAAGCTACTCTATCAAAGATTATTATTTATTTATGCATTTGAATGAATTTACTTTCCTATAATTGCAAAAGATAAATATCTTTCTCCATCATTTTTCTAATATTTTATTCAGAAATAGAAGGGAAATTGTTTAACGAGGGAATAGGATCCTCTTTATGAAGATTTGGAGGATCAATCAATTGTATTCATTCATCGTACATCGTACGATTAGAAATTATTTTAAAATTTTAATTTAAAATTAGATATAAATAGTATCCAACGAAAACTAACCGCACAATATACGATGAACGAACACAATTGATTAATTTCTGGATCCGCATAAAAACGATCCGGAGAAGATCCTTGTCCGTTAACGAGGACTCTCTTTCTAATAATTTATCCAGAAATAGAAAGGGAAATTGTTCTAAACCTTGTTAACGAGGACAACATGACTACTTAAGAAATATAATAATCCAGGATTAGCAAATTGACAGCAAGCCTAAACCTTTAGACTTATTTCTGCAACTTTGGATCTCCCATCAAATTACAAGTATCAAATCTCAAACCCTCCCCCAAAACCAAACCAAACCCAAAAGAACAAAAATTCAAAGACAATGCTCCTCTTGTTCCTCCAACAACCCAACTGACAAAAATCTCAGACAGGCAGTTGTGGTGGTTTTGTTTGTTGGGGTCTCATCTTCTTCTTCTTCTTCTTCTTCTCACTCCTCTTCTAATGGTAATTGTCCAAGCTTCCAAGCTCAGCCTCCCAAACCCTTCTCTCTCCTCCCCTCCCCAAATAACTTCCCTCCAATTTGAACCCCATTCTCTCTCTCTAGCCCTCATGCACTCTGACTCCACTTTCTCTCTCTACCCCTCTCTCCCCTCCCCTCTTTCCCTCTCCTCCCTCCCTCCTCCCCAAACCCTAATTGCCCCTCCCTCATCATCCTCCACCTTCCTCCTTCTGCAAAACCCTAATTCTAGCCCCAACACCCGGACCCTCTTCATTGCCTCCGGCCCTCACAAAGGTGGGTCCCAGGTCCTGCTTAGGTTCTACATTCTGCAGAACCAGAAGCAATTCGTGAGGGCTCAAGTTGTTTGCACCCAGAAAGGGCTGAAATTTGATGGGAAATTGGGGGTTTTGGTTGATGCGCATCATGGGGTTTCGATTAAGCTTGCCGGGTCGGTCAATTTCTTCGCCATCTACTCAGTTTCGAGCTCAAAGATTTCGGTTTTTGCTGTGAAAGCAGTTGGCGATGACGACAATGGCGATGATGGGGTGGTTGTGAAGTTGATGAGGTGTGCTGTCATTGAGTGTTGCAAGCTCGTTTGGTCGATTAGCATTTCGTTTGGGTTCTTGATCCTAGGAGAAGATAATGGAGTTAGGGTTTTCAACTTGAGGCAGCTTGTTAAAGGGCGGGTTCGAAAGGCCAAGAATCTGAGCTCAAGTTCGAAAAATGAGGGCCGAAATTTGGGCTTGCCTAATGGGGTGATTGGTGACCAAGTGCATAGTGATGTGGGCGATTGTGGAAATAAGCATGGAGGCAGTAAATGTGGTGGCGTTGAGGGGAGTTTGGAGATAATTTGCAGTGGTAACTCATGCGGGAAGAATGATAGGAATTATGTTTCTGGTAAGTAAACGAATTCTGCATTTTGATTTTACTTTTGCTGATCTTACCTTTTATGCAGAAAATGCAAGATTGCAAACGTTCTCTGTACATATGATTACATAGCTGTTGCTCTTTGTTGAGTTGGTACTTAATAAAGTTGGATGCTGGAACTTTTAATCTAACATTTTGCAAGATGAAAGCTTTATAGGTCTTCTAAATTTATCGAGAACTTAAGCAAATCCTATGGCTTTATGATAACCATATAACCAATAAGGATAGCTTAACACACTGCTAACTTCTAAGTGCTATTTTTTCCCCCAGTGGCCTTGTTTTTTCAAAGCTAATTATAGGCTTTTTTATTATTTATTTATGTAACTTAGGTAGTGTTGATAGTTTGAGCAATCCTTATTGTGAAAGAAGGTGAATGTGTTAACTCGTAAATGCATGGGCACGGTAGAGGATTCAAAAGGTCATAAATATTCAGTGTAGGTTTTTCTTGGAAGTTTCAAGGATTGCATATGAGTCTTATTGTTTGCATATGATGCAAAAGGCTAAACTTGGATGGCTGGAAGGTTGTTGAAATCCCTATTGGTGTTAACATGTTGGGAGTGCTAGGGTCAAGGATTGACGGTGGGAAGTAATTCGGGTTTTTAGAATAGGGGTTTCTATTCGAAAACCAAAAAACCAAAGAAATGAGGTTAGCATTCCTTCAGCCCACGACTTTCAGTCTTGAGTTAAATTTAGGGTTCATGATGATGAAAGATCGTATGCATAAGCATCCCCTAACTGCAATAGAGTGACTATCTAGATATATTTTGTAAATTAACTAGCCACTAAGATGAGGTTGGATCCTCTAGTAAATTAGTGTACTTTTATATGCAGTGTGTAAGTAAAAAGGGATTCCATCATTTGGTCAAGTGCATGAATAATGTGGTTCTCAAATTTGATTTTATACATGCAATCTGAAAGATCACGATTGGGATTTGAAGTGACCTACCATGATTGGCTCAACAAAACAGTCCTGTATTACCGCGTTGAAATCTTGGTATCAAGCTTTTTCAGTGTTCTTGCTACTATTAAAGTGTCATGATCACTTTGTCTTAAACCAATACCATATACCCGTGGATCTTTATACACATCCGATACCTTATTGAAATTTGTGTTACTATGGTTGTACCCAAACTCCTTCTCACAATGACTGGTCTATCACCAGCACGTTATGGATTAAATGTGAGAGGAAGGGTTGTATTGTAAACAAGATCTTTTCCATTATATGTTGTAACTTTAGTTGTAACATATCTATTTGTGTTACATTAGTTAGGCCTGTTTCTTAAGCCTGAACTACTTGTAACTTATCTATGTGTTTATCTGTAATTTCCACTGACAAGTTGTTTTTTAGGTATTTCTTTTTTACCAGGACATGGGTGCTACTCATATAAGCAGGGTGCTGTCCTTTGGTTAAAATCATAAGGATGCCTCTAGATGGTAAATCACTGATTAGAAAAGTAACTTAACTTTCTTATCATCGAATTGGAATCTGTAGCTCATAGACAGATTCTAACCTTGATCCCCTCGAAAATTCTCTACTGTAGTATAGTTCTGTAGTATGTTCACCAGATAACTGCACCTGTCCATTTTAGATGGAAGTGACTTCGATTGATTCTTGGTTTTAGATTCATATGAACTTGTTTTGCCCTTAGCTAATTGACTAGTGTCTCTAACGCTGTGTTTAACCTTCCAGTCAAGCAGAGGTCTGTTAAACTGAACCAAGACTCTTGTGAAGAGGGAGTATGTTTTGTGGAATTCAAGGGAAAGGATTTTGAAACCTCAAAATTGAAAAGAACAATACCAGCAAAGGCAATTTCTATTGAAGCACTGTCCCCCAACAAATTTTTAATCTTGGATTCAGATGGAGGTTTACGCATCTTGCACCTCTCCGGTCCTATAATTGGATCAGAAATAACATCTTGCGTGCAGCATTTGCCTCACATTATGAAAGTGCAAAAGCTGGCTGTTCTTCCTGATATAGATTCAAGTATGCTTCTCCTACCCATTCCATTTTAAATATCTTTCATGCTTATATGTTGGAACACCGAAGGTCTTTTGGATTTGCAGTATGGAAACAATAGAAATAGATCTTATTGTGCAGATAATTGTAGGATGTAGCTTGGTTTGTATTTTTATGAATGAAACACTTAATGTTAAACTTTAGAGATAGATTCAACCATGAGGTTACTCTTCACCATCTCATTGCCCTCTGAAAAACTTGGAAACCTGCCATCACTTTGCAGGAACTCAATCTGTTTGGGCATCAGATGGATATAATTCTGTGCAGATGATGTTGGCATCTGACGTGGATATTGCGGAAAATGAGAAAAATGACAGTGAGGAAAAGCTGATTCATGTCTCAGGTTTTCATTGTCCTTACTCATTAAATTTGAAATCATGTCGTATCTTTCATTGTAACATGTCAAATAAATTTTCTCATTTTTTCCGTAATTCTATGAGATTGTGATATTGTTTTAAATTTATCATCAGTGGAGGTCCAAACTTGGTCATCAAACATTTGCACCCAATGATCCCCTAATTGATAGGGTTGTATTTACCTTATAATTTGAAAGTCGAGGTCATATGCCCCTTATTGGTTTTAATTTTCAGTATTTCACACTCAATTCTTTTTTCTGTGCTAGTTCTTCTCACAGTTTTTGCCAGTGAAAAAATTCAAGATCTTATTCCTATGGCTGCAAATGCTATTTTGATTCTTGGACAAGGTATGTGGTTTTTTTTCTTCTCCTTGTACTTTATATGCAATAAGTGTTGCTGGATTTGAAATATAGATAAAAGGCTAATCGTCATATGTGATTGTATTAAGCAGGAAGCTTGTACACATATGCGATTTCTTGAAGTTGCATAGTTACACCCACCTTTTCTAATTGGTGAGCAGTTTGTCTTGAATCTATTCACTCAAATATATATTTTTTCTTCTGTGGCTGTGATCTAAGTTGGTTTCTTCTCAGGACTTCTGACTTCCGGGCTTAAAGGAGCTCTGCCAGTATGATTGTGAACCTGGGGTAATGTTACCAGGACTCAGAAACAAGTTGTCATGTCTACTCTGTATTTTAGTATGGAGTCTTAACTCATATTTTGATTTTTGTAGGTGCCCTTCTTGTGTTCTTTGATTTCCATGGTCCCTTGCGTTGTCTATATTACCGAAGTCAGGAGCTGCAGTTTCCCCTTTACTCTAAAGTGATAAAGACTTTGAGAATGCTGAGCTGTTGAAGGTATGCACTGTCATTTAAATTTTTCGTAATTGAAAAGATCAAAAGAAGTTAATTCAGACTATGGGCTGTGGATTTCAATGATAGTTCGCATTCATTTGCTACATGGTAGTGTAGAGATCATGTAGATTGAGACTCTTTTTTGTGCTAATGTATAAGTGTTTAACAGCGGAGTCTAAGATAGTGAGTCCATGAGGGGCCAAAGGGTTTTCGGCCAAAGTAGCCATTCTATTCTCAAGTACTTGTGTTTGGATTTAAGAGCTTGTTTATGTAACCAATAACAAGGATAGATCTTTTCCCCTCCATTTTAGGTGGTTTGGATTTAAGGGGCCGAAAGGTCTGACTTTAATCTGGTATTGGTTTCTTAATGTTTGCTATCGTTGTGTGGTTTGCATCGCTACATAAATCTTTTCCCCTCCATTTTAGGTGGTATGGAATCGGTGCCAGTTGGGTGTGTGCCATTGCTTTCTGAATTCTTAAGGTTGATCCTTTCAGCAACTGAAGGCTACTTCTGTTGTTCAACCTAACTCCATGAGCTACAACTTTGTCATATCTGAACGTATTCGCTGCTGGTCCTTCTGTGTTGCCTCTGTCGAGCATGTCTCTATTCTAAGGTTGTCAACTGGAGAACTGAAGTGCATTCGCCAAAGGTAAAAGAAGCTATGAGACGGCTAGCAAGGTTTGAGACTGGTATGGATGAAACTCCAGACTTTACGAGACTTTCAGTTCTTAAAGCTTGCAAGGTCTGTAATAACACTTCTAACTTCGCAGTTCTATCCACATATTGACTCTGCGTAATAACGCTTTTTGTTGAACTTTATCCTTGCGATTGTCTAGTACTGGTGTTGATGATATGGAAATGGAAAATATACTAGTTTTCATCAGCATTAGTAAAACCCCCACTTCCTGTCGTGAACTTGCAACTGAAATTCTATCGTGGAGGTATCTCAACTCAAACGAGCATTTTCCTGTATTTAATTTTACCACATGACAGGGCTTGATTAGTTTGGAATAACGTCATAGCAACGCTGTCGTTATTGTCAAGTTTCTCTCCTTTCTGTGAGACCTTGCCATTCACAGCTGAATTTTCCCTGGAAACAAATGTTTTTAAGTGTTGGATTTAACAGACATCTTTGATTTACAAGGACAGTAATTACCTTAGCCAAAAAAGAAAATAAACGGACAAATAATATCCAGATAAGACCAGATTATTTCCTACTTCCTCCTCTCGAAATGCGCACTGAAAGATTTAGAGATTAAATGTGGGGTGGGGTTTGGTGTTTTGGTGGTTTGGACCGCACCCGAAACCTACGTTGCATACACAGCAGACAAAACTGACGACCATGATGATGAGGGTTCCAGAGGGGGTGGGGCATCCCCATAATTTGAGGATAGCTAGAAGAGGAAAAGGGATCATGTCCAGATCTCTTCCTCTCATTAAGTTCGGAAATTTGGATCATTAAAATTTGATAAAACGGTTACAAACAGAGATTTACTTTAAAAGTTATAATAACTTTAACCGTTAAATTAAATTTCAATGGTCCGAATTATCAGATTTGATGGATTAGGAGGAGGGAATCCAAAAAGGATTCCTTTCCCTTGACAGGGATGATGAGGATGTTGACAATCACATGATATGGAAATTCACAGCCACACACTCACACGCACACGCACACGCACAGAGAGAGGTTCACTGTCTCTTTCTCTCTCTCTCTCTCTCTCTCTCTCTCTCTGTGTAAAGAGACACAGTCTGCTCTTCGGTTCTTTCTATCCACACTTTTTTCTTCTTTCCATCGAGATCCAGATGCAGGTCCAGGCCAGACCGAAAGCAACCCCACATTGTTATCTATCTGCTTGATCAACTTATTTGCTGTTTGAAAAAAACCCATTTCCCCAGAAAATTATAAAAAAAAACCGGATGTGATTTTATCATTTGGTTTCATATATCACAAGTTTTATGCACTGTCATAATCTCATTGGTTTAGACTTAGAGAGGTGAGGTAAATAATAGGCCGATATTTGCACTATGTAGGATAATATATATTCTGCTTGGTCATATTTTTCTGTTATAAAAATTCTCTATATGCTTGCTGTGCTTCAAAGGGACGCGTCGCTAATGTTGTTGATAATATATCAGGAACATTTATGTCTGCTTTATTGGCTACCGTAGTATCGACACATTATTAATGATGTATTGCTTAGGCTTCTTGATCTAGTATCCCCGCACATTCATGACATCTACATTCAAATGTGCCTCGGAGACAATCGAAGCATGCCCGTCCAGTGTGCTGCTTTCATGACATGCTTTGGTCGCGAGTGTCTTCCTATGTTCTTCTAGCGCCAAAAGAAGTTGTGTCCATCCCGGACATATGACATGTCCTCCAATGACCACATGTTCTTAATAAAATATGGACGCACGTTCCATAGTCATACTACTTAGAGTTAAACATACACATTTTTACCACCAACCAACAATGTTTGACGTAGGTAAGTTCCTCATCAATCTGAATTCTCTCCCCTTTCATTTTCTCCTCATGTTCCTCTCTTCTTATTTGAACACTTAAAATTAAGTTACATCGTCATCTTGATTTACCTTTCCCCAAAGGGAGAGAGAAAAAAAACTGAAAGAGAAAGAGAGGATGGGAGGGAGGGGAGAGACCCAACCCCATTCCTCCCTCGTAATTGCTCAACTAGGCAATCCCAAATCGCAATAATTCCATAATTTAAAACCCATGTTACCCCTATACCTATGCTCACCTGATTGAATTCAATTTCCTGACACTTCTGTCAAAAAGATATACACATTCATACAAGTAATCAAATCACATCTCCCCTGACTTCACTCCCAGGAGGCAGCAGTTTCGCAGATGGGAAAAGTTGGGAAGGCAGATTGTCTACCCTCCTGTTTGGATGTCTTTCTTATTTCCTTTTATTTTGTAAGATCACAATTAAGCCACGTTAATATTTTATATTGATTTTTTTTATAAAGATAATAGGATAAAAAATAATAAAAATATAAAATATTAACGTGATTTAATTGTAATCGTACAAATAAAAAAGGATGAAAAGAACACTCAAACAAAAGGGCACACAAAATCTGCCTCCGAAAATTGGGTGCACTACATAATGCACTCACATTTTCAAATGCTAAATTTGGTTGGACTGTTTGATACCAAAAAATTCAACACCATCGTACTATTTGCAATGCTAGTCCTTTCATAAAGCACAGCTACAAACCAAAATTGCTTACCATATGACCCCACATTCCAGTGTTTATATATGAATTTTGAGATTCTTTATACCAATTATATTGTCAGTTTTGCACACGTACATCTCTCAAATCTTTGGCTCTCCGCAGAGAAGTGGTGAATTGTCATCTTTCAACCTTTCCATTTGGTAAAAAATCCAGTAGAAGCATAGGAAAACTATAGTCTGTGTAGGAAAGATTATCTCTTTCAATTAAGATATAATCTGAGTAGCATCATTTGTCCAATAAATATTTATCACGTGTTTAAAAAGTAAATCACTTGTCCTGTCATTTGATGAATTGGTGACATGATTGTATCTCTTTGGCCATAGGATTATTTTTCTTTTCAAATGACGGACTGTTGATATTTTATCTGTAATATGTCGATATCACTGTGACCAACAAACGTACAAACATGTTATATGTATTTTTTTGACAATATCAATGCCCGTATTTTCTTTTGAAAAACACCCTAAAGAATTTACCCTCGATTCAAGTATTTGAAAATCATACCATAAAGTTATAGAACCGTGCATAATTTTGAACAGGTAAAAATATAATCTTTAGTCTCAAAATTTGTACTACAGTCTGCAGCTTTTCCCTTCGCTCCTTCTTGTTTTTGGTCGAGCTCTTTTGGAAGGAGAAAGCGAATGAATTTTTACCCTTTATGTGCTCGTGTGAGTGTATCATTGGCAGCCAAAGCGGCAATACTTATTTCATGTGCTACTCTTTTTTATTCGAGCGATATTCTAACTTAACCAAAATTACACTGGTGCAATTCAAACTTTGAAGTCACATTGTTTTAGCCAAATTGCTTCTGTCCAAGCCTATCGTATGCCGAAATGTTTAATCCCACACAAATATAAAACTCATTTAAACTACATCTTCCCACAAACAGAAGCACATTTTACAGATTTTGGAAGTCTGCATGTTTTCATGCTTATGAATTATAAAACTCAAACCCCTTAAAAGAAGACCATTCCAAATTGACAAGTCAGAAGAAGAAAAGCTCATTCCATTTGATCTCCACCATGGAAGACTCACCATACGGTTCGAGAAGGCGAGATGAGCCGGAGTTCAACCTGAGAGAGTGGGCTGTGAAGGCCAGAATCAGCCGCGAAAACCCGAAGTCTAGAAGGTTTTCGGCTTCTTACATTCGAAGCTTCAGAGAGGACACAAGGTCTTTCAGATCAAACATTACAATCTCCAGCACTGCTTCTTCCCCTGGCTATAACTTAAGAGGTACCCTTCTCTCTGCTTCACTCAAAACCGAGTTTTTGAATCCACCATTTCTCATAAAAAAAAAAATTAAAAACTCCTCCTTTTTGGCAGATGAAATCGACCCAGCAACGTACTCATTCACCACAGCCCTCAAAGGTACGAAATCATGATCGTGAAAGCATGTTGTTAGTTCAAATTCAAATTATTATATACAGCTCAGAAATTCTTTGTGCATAACGTTCGGTCTTTATTAACGTTCTTAAATAACAAAGGAAGACAGACGTCGATTCCAAAACCAGCCTAATATAAATTTTCTGTGCAGCATCTTTATTATTGCTTTCTTTATTAAAAAGCAGACGTTTGTTCCACAGCCGGACTAATATACCAGATTTTGTGTTGTTCTCGCAGCGTTGCAGGCAAGGTCCGCTCATCACAGTTGGGAAACGTCATCACCGGAAGGGTTTGCTTTGAATTCAAAGTGGAACGAAGCAGAGAAATACATATGCAACCCTCTATCAGGGCAGGTTCCAATGGAGTGTTTATCTGCAAAAACACTTAGCGGAAGATCGTTTCGAAACGTAACGAATCGAATCACAATGTCTGCACCTCTTGTTTACTCTTCCCACTCGAGACCAATCCATACAAGCAACATTGCCAAGCCTTTTTCTAATCCTACAAAAGAAGATTTGGCTCGTCAATTTCCAATTCCAGGTTCAGTCATTTTTCTTTCTCTTCACCCATCTAATTATTTTTGTATTTTGCTTCTTCTAATATTGCTTTTTTGTTTCACCAATAGCTGTTTCACTTCAAAGTTCAGCAATACACGAATGTTTGGTAAAAATGAAACGTTTTTCTTATTTTAAAAGTAATAACCTTTAGAAGTTGCTTTAATAAAAGTGGAGTTGAGATTTTAATAAATATTTTTAATTCTTGTAATACCCTCGATAATTTTTAAAAATGACATAAAACATTTTATCTTTGGAGAACAAAGTGATCACCACCTACAATTACAAACCCCAACCTCTTACATCACCACCGCCATTACCGCCACCATTGCCACCACAGCCACAACCACATTTCTCTCCAACGTCGCCACCCCTACCACCATTGTTACTTTTGCAACCAAACCACCACACCCAATTATTGACACCACCACCACCATCACAACCACTATCATGTCCATATTTGTCATTATATATAATTATATCACTTTTACATTGATTTTCATCTTTGCAACACTTTTAAACATATAGTTTATCAAACACTCAACTGTTTTATTTTACATTATTCTTAAACCGCAACAAAAACAATTTTAAGAAAAGCACTTTGAAAAAAAAAAAAAGAAACACAACAATCTAAAACTAGCCTTTATTCAATTCAAAGGCCCAATCTAAACGAGGTGTGGAAAAATCACTTCATTTCTCATGGAATGATAATTACAACTTTCAATCACAACTTATTTTTAATGCAGAGAAGCAAATAGATGGAATGAGAGATGTGGGAACTCAAAGCACTCCTCCTGATTTGAGTTCAAGTAGTTGTCCTAGCTCTACTTCAACCCCTCCGATCGTAGTGAGATCGTCAAATCGATTTCGAGGAGGAGATTCGTCTAAAACAAGTGCAAAATCAAAATCTGATGAAGAGGTATGTTTTTGCTCATATTTGTAACAAAATGCCAAAGAGTTAGCCATGTTGTAGGTTTTTAAGACTAATAACGGCGAAATAAGCACAAATAGAACCGATTTATAAACTGTTTAAGATTAGAAGGACAACTGTATACATTTTATTGCTTGTTTATTGTCTTTGCATTGAATATTTTATTAAAAATTTGTGACCGATTACATGATGTGCATTTGGGATGCCGGCAGCGTTTCTCGTGTTTTTAATTAATGATGTGTTTCTGAAGATGGGACAACTAAATGAAGGTCGGTTGGTGTCATAAAAAATAGAGTATTCCCTTCAAGGTGGGGGACTAGCAGATTGAATTGGTCCCTCTGGTTTTATGTGCTTTCCAGCACATAAACTCTCTTCTCGGAATAACATTTTGCCTCCAATAAGAAAAGAAAAACTTTGGGTAGGGTAAGCTGTCACAGTGTGTCGGACCGTGTGCATTAGGAGTTGTATTCACAATTTCACATGGAGTCGAATAGTATCAAATACAGTTGGACTCGTCCTTTTGTAATAGTACATTACGTGATAATACATTATTAATATGCGATATTGACAATCGTATTATCTCGAGTGTAGATAAGTTTCTATCCTCTCTTAGTTGCCAGACAATTTGCATGTAGATAAGTTTCTATCCTCTCCGAGTTGCAAGACAATTTGCACGTCCACCACCACTTTGCTTTAACTTTTTGCCTTGAATTATGCAGAAACTATGTGTTCCTTTTTTACCAGATTTGAATCCCATCCGGATCCAAATTATGGAGATTTTAGAAATTCTCACATTTTAGCTATTCATCGTGCATCGTACGGTTAGAAATCATTTGACATTTTTTATTTAAAATTAAACATAAATAATACATGACAAAAACTGATCACACGATACGATGAACGTTTAAAATATGAGGATTCCTAGAATCTCCACAAAGTGAATTCGGAGAGGATCTTCTTCCTTTTTTACCATGACCTTTTTGTTTTTGTGTGGAAACCCTGAAGATTCTTTCAGTGCAAATGTTAAAAAGGATTCTTCACTTTTTTCTTCCCCCCCCCCCCAACCCGGTTTTGATCTTTGGGATTCTCACTTAACCAACAGGATCCTCTCTGAATCCTCTTTCTGAGGATTTGTGAATCGCATTCGTTTATTGTAAATCATACTCTCAGTTTTTATCAAGTACTATTTGTGTTTAATTTTAAATAAATAAATTTAATATGATTTCTAATCACACGATATACGATAAACGAACACAATTAACGGATCTTTGGAGTTCTCACAAAAAAGATCCAACGAAGATCCGGATTCCTCACTGAAAATGCCCCATCACTTATTTATTGGTTCATCTTTTTGGAAAAGATGGTCATGTGTTTCAGGGTTTGTTACTTGATGATTTCACTGTTTTAAGTGCAAATTTGTTGGGAACCGGATTCCCTCCGGACCCAAATAAACTGAGCTTAAGGATCAAAGGACCTAAGCGGTTGAAATTTGATCCAACAACTACAATTATTACATCTTTTAGAGGGCCTCCTATTTGTAGCCGTTGGATCAAATTTCAACGACCCGGATCCTTTACTCAGAAGGCTCAGTTTATTTGGGTTCGGAGGGGATCCGATTCCAATTTGTTGCATCTTTGGACTAGGTGACTGAGTCATGTCCTTTCAAACTTTTGGCTAGGGTTTGTGATCATCAACTTGTACATGTTGTGATGGAGATCGTCATTTGAGGGTCTTTAAGATGGAAGAGGATTCGCTCTAGATCTTAGTGTAGATCTTAGTGACTGGAGCCTCCTTATCAAGACATCTGGACCACTGATTGGTGTGCAAGTCAAATCAGGGCTGTTGGTTGTGTGTGGTGGGCCAAAAAAATGAATTAATGAAAACCATTGGATTCAATTTCTACGATCCAGATGATTTAATGAGGAGGCTCCAAACACTTAAGGTCCGGAGCGGATCCTCTTCCCTCCGAGACCGTGTGATTTACCATGGTGACTGATGGTTGCAGAAAGTGACACTAGTCTACTCTAGCAATTGACCTAACGCTACACTTCATTTGAAATTGTTAGTCTCCATCTAGCCCCAAGCAACCATGATATATTCTCGTATCTCTATGTCAATTATTACGTAATATAATTGATGAGTGAGATAGATAGATTGGAATCTCCATATTAAGTAGGAATCTCCATATTAAGTTTTTCTTCCAAAATCAACTAAATTTTGCACCATCCAAATTTAGGTCAAGCACAAACTAGAACCGTCCCTGATATTTTAAGTGCGAGAGAAACTAACTAGGTTATAGGGGTTTCTTTTTTCATATACCAGAAGCTTCTTGTTGCTTTATTTTATATTACTTTCCTTATCAAATTACCAAATATATAAGAGAAATTTAACAAAATACTTCCAGTACTGTTCACTTTTAACGAAAAATCATATTTATACTTTTTCCTCGTACTATTCATTATACATTTAAAAATGATTTTTCATTAAAAGAGAAGTTTTTTTGAACTTTTCGTTAGTTTTCCTAATATATAAAAGATGCAATTGAAAATAAAAGGAAAGAGATTTTATGTATGTGGCTACATAAAATGCAGGTGGAAGTGAAAGATACAAAAGAAGAAACAAAAAGAGAAAAGGAAAAGCAGAAGTGCAGGCTAGGTGGGTGCTTCCCATGGATGAGAAAAAGGTACAGAGAGAAACATAGACCAAAAAACAAGAAGAATAACTTTCTTTCTCATCTGAATCTCAAAGGGTTCTGAGAAAATTAAATTATTATCAGGAGCTGAAATTATTAATATGGTAAAAAACGAAGAAAGAGAAGTGAATATTTGCAGGGTGAAAGCAGAGATTCTCTGTGTCTTTTGAGAAATCTTTTGCAGAGAGGAAGAAAAAAGAACAATCCATCAATGTATTATTATGTTTACGTTTTATGTAGTAATACTTTGAGGCACTGATGATGTTAACGTTTTGTTCTTGTTATGTTCAAATTGGCTGACATCTTTGGGCTTCACTGTTGCTTTTTGTTTGTCCGCTTTTGAATACGAATCGAAATATGAAGATCTTGGAGTAAATACTTTAATCTTGGGAAATTAAAGGCTAAGTCATTTTTCAGTGCGGTTAATTATTATCTAATTTATTGATGACAGAGCATCAATTATATTGATTACATATTGTCATCATCATAAAGTATTAATAGTATCAACAACGCATGCACGACCTGTTCATATTTTAACAAGTACAATTAACCGCAGTGAGAAAACCGTTTTGAAGATATGTGGGTGGGATAAACTTAATATAACTTTCATCATCATTGGTCATCCAGTCGTGTATTAATTTGAATGCCAAATTTTTTTGAAAATAACGAGAGGTTACGAAAAAGAAAAATGGAAAACCTTGACAATTCCAGAACTATCTTATAATGATGTATATCAAGTTTATCACCTCCGTCACGTGCAGGCTCATCCTGCACGTAGAGACTGGAGAGGAACATTAGAATAAGAGAGAAATATAGAGGTGCGTTGCCCCATCCTACACCCGCAAGCGCCCAAAGAAGCGGAGAATGAGAATATAACTCAGAACCACTTTCAAAAACGTCTCGGATAACCATCTTAGACAACCACTAGTCCCACAAGCTTATAAGAGAGCGGGCAAATAATAGAAGAAGACTCGAAATAGACAAAAGAAAAACAACAAATTGAAGAAGTTGGCTAATACTCGAAGTGGTAGAAGATCTAAGCTTCAAGGAATGGACTAAGCAAAATTGAATTTGAAGCTACCGAGATGAGTAATGACAACTTCAATTTTGCTTATATTTCCGATTCTCTCTTCAAAAATCCGTGTATGATACAATAAAGCTTTTGCCAACTGAATCTAAACAAAAGTTTTACAAATTACAAGTGACAAAAAGCCGCGTAATATGAAACTACACTACTACAGAGTAGCATTCGATCAAACTATAATACATCTTTTTTTTTTTTTTTTTTACAACGGTGATGCAGAAGGGTTAGCGTTGGAGTTGGAAATAAGTCGGACTTCGTATAGATCATTCTCTCCCTTCCCTGCACCACAAAGTAAGTAGTATTCCAAAAAGTTCGGTATAAGTGAAATTCAGATTGTTGAACCCACAGGTTTCTAGTTCTACAAGTTCGAAAATTTTCATTGGACTTGAAGCATTTAGGAATAAAACTCACCAACTTCAGCTGTGATTCCTGGTCCGAAGAATGAAGTAAACTTAGCCTAGAAATGTCAGAATTCGATTAATCAGTATGCAGTATCCTTTTCTCAAAATGCAAGGTCAAATAATTTATTATGCCGGGAAGCACGAGCAAACTTGTAAGCATTGTCTTCAAGAATAAATCTAAATATAGATAAATGCGACTATTAACAGGTGCAGCGGGACTCTGTAGACTCATAATTCTTTACCTGTCTTTGTTCAAAATCTGACAACTGCAGAGCTTTTGCCTCAAACACCAGGACTAGAGAGTATCTACCATCTCCGGTGACCTAAGAACATACGATCATAATTTGAGATAGTATTAGCAGTCGGGGAATAATGGTCGGTCACACTTTGATACAAAGTAACTAATAGCCTCACCACAAATTGAAAGGATTAAAACCTTAAGGATGTTACAAATGGTTGAGGTTCTTTAAGATGCAAGATACTTCATAAATAATTGACCAATCATATCATGTCATCAGTCTGCTCTTGTATGCGATATTTAGGAAAGAACAAATTCTCCTTTCATATAAATTCCCGAAAGAGTTTTATTTAGTGGAAGGTAATCAAAAGGATATTACAAGTAGCCACAAAAGTTGCTGTTTGCTGATACATTTTGACACAAAAAAAATTTTGTTTAGTAAACTCGAAAGTTTATGCGCTTGAAACCAACTGCTGGTGAGAAGCATACCTCTTCACGAACACTTTGGAGAGTAGGTGCACTCCTCCGAGCAATTCCTCCACCCTGAAAGGAAAACCAGGTAAACGAGAAGATGTTAAGCACAAAACAGTGCTTGAAGCGTATATTCTTTAATGAGGCCCTCAGAGTAACTGTGCACTGAGCATAAGATTATCTACATCCAAAATTCTTTTAAAAGTGAAGTGTTGTGATGACAAGTCGCTTCCAAAAAGGTATACAGAAGGCCAAACATTTCTTTCACTCTACAGAACATTCCGAAACAAATGAATAGATGTCATAGAGTTCTTGTATTTACACGCAAAGCAGATAACGCACCTGACCATACTGGAAGATTCGTTTCAACGCCTCATCCAAATGCTGCTCATCTCCATAACGATACCTCGTAACATCATTCCTCACCTAAATCCATATATCATAACATTTGGGTAAAACAACAAAAAAGAAAAACCATGAATTGCATGCATCAGACATTCATAGAAGTGATCAACTCTATCCATTTATGGACTTAGAACTAACCCCAAAGTTCAGAGGGGTTGATCATATTTCCCCAACATCCTATTCTATATTTTAATGATATTGATTCTCAAGCACACGTTTCTTCAAAAGATCCTTTCCAATCACCTCCCGCCTTCGTTCAAAATTGTTATGAAGAATCACAAGAAGAAACTACAAATCTTGCCCAAAACTGCAATCACCTAAATATATATGGGACAATACTAATAATGAACGACACGTTACTGGCACATACAGTCCAAGGTTTTCGAGGGTTGATGCAATAAATTTACCACACCTTATATAAACCATTACAACATCTATTTTCTTACATTACCACGTCTTTTATGTCACAAACGAGGCAGTTCAATCTAATTACCTGTGTAAGGATTGGGGTGGCACTTGTTTCCCTTAATTGTAGCGCATCCAAATAAGTCAAGCATGGCACTGGCTTTAGTTCTGCATACTGCAAAACAGAATAACGGAACACGATGATGCAAATAGATACGCAAAATACTTCCAGTCACGAAATAAACAAAGCTGAAGTTTGTCTAAATAGCAGAGCAAGAACCTAGGTGTGAACTTGTTTTGAGAATCAAAGCAAATTAACTGGACAAAACGTTCATGAAACAAATCAACATCTACTAATCCGCATCATCACACGGACAACATTTGAAGCGGGCAGTAGCCTGCATTATAACTTGTACACAAGATAATGGCTTTGGTAATTAGTGTTACCTTGAAAGCCATACCAATGATTGCAAGAGGGAAGCCGTATGTGAGCATCAATGCCGACCATTCGGACCCAGGAAGGATATTAAAATACGCTCCGAAACCATACCTGTTCGAAATCCATCACAACCACATGAATTAATTACGAAAAAACATGTAAGAATCAAAATATGCTTAAAAAATTTACAAATTTGATGCTGCGATAAAGTACTCACGACAGGAGTGAAACCCCAAAACCCAGACCAATAACCCCAAACGAAACCTGCAAACACCACACAAGAAAAACTACATGATACAAGTACACATAGTCATATCTACATAAACAAGGTATATTAGAATCCTCGAATCTTTCCAAAAATATGCACGAAATAGAACTGGCTACAATTTTCTTTTATAAAAAGTAGAACTGAATGGACACTAAACGGACAATAAAGTGACACTACACTTGTATACAGCCCATTTCGTACATATCCCATCAATTATATTTTTGTTTTTAAAGTTTGCAACGGATTTTATCTGTGCATATTTTGTTTCGCAGACGATTGGCACGTACCTCTCGCACGTGTGTGAATGAAATAAGAGGAAGGTAAGGAAGAGCAGAGGGTACCTTGGCAAGGGAGAACTGGTCGTCGGGAACGATGGCTTTGCCGGCGGCAGAGGAGGAGGTGACGGTGGAAGGCTGAGTGGAAGAGTCGGCGGCTCTCTGGATGGTCAGTTTGGGCTTGGACTTCGAGAGTTGGTGGGCTCTGCGTCCAATGGGATCCAGGTGGATGAGGAAGCTGGTGATGGGCCTTGATGAGGATGAGGCAGTGGTATGGTGGCGCAGAGAGAGAAAGCGGCTGCGGTTGACGTCATGATGGCGGCAGGAGCTGCTGCTTCCTCTTGCAGTTGCAGTTGGAGTAGATAGTGCTTGCGTTGCCATTGGATTCTCTCTCTCACTCTCCTTCCTCAAAGATTCAGACTTTGAGAGAAAGCTTCAGTAGTTTTGCTGGTTACTCCCAACCGCCAAATTTCTGATTACGTGTCCCCATGTTATCCATTTTATTTTGCTTTTTAGATAACTTGTAAAAATACAATTTGACTACAAATTTAAAAATACTTCTGAATGGAAAAAGCTTTTTTTGAATTATTTTTCTACCTTCTAATAAGAGCACCCTGTAACCAAAAAAAAATAAAATATATATATATATATATATATATATATATTATGAACTCAAGTGTTTTATACCGCAAAATAGTCATGAACAAATGAAAAAAACTTCAAGGCCTGACCAAGAATTCGAGATAGATCAAGAGACATGAAAATCATTTATATAAGTTCCCAAAGCTGTTCAGAAATAACACTGACCAATGCTCATCCCATAATTTACATTTTCCATTACAAAAAAAATTGTGATTCAACTATTCGCTACTGATACTACAATCTAGTGATATTTCTCTTCACTTGTGAGTGACTAGTCTTATGTTCATATCTCTGAATGACGAGTTCACTGCCAATTTATTTTCTCACCCCTCGTACCGTAAATACATCGCTTTATGAAAAAATAACTATTAAACTTTCATAACCACAATCTGAGGCAGCGCGCCAATTTTTCAATATCACTTCCCCTTCGAATCAGCACTGTCGTAAAGAGCGAAATCCGAACTAGGAAACATCTGGCTCTTTCATTTCAGCACCGTAAAGAACCAGTTTTCAACAGAAGGAGCTCCATCCCATGTTCCCGTATCTGTACAATACTGAAAAGTAAAATTAGAACATCGAAATAACTCGTGAACTGGAAATCTACACATTGTATTTGGCACAGTTAAAGCTAACCTTGAAGCAATATATCTTCACCAAAATCGCCTTTCAGTTTCCATAAGGCATAGCCATCAGCATCCACAACATAAGGCTGTATTCTAACAGCCTCTCATATTTCATTGCCTATAAAATAAGTCAAAGCAATTTTAACACGAGCATGTATAACAAGCACAAGAAAAATACGAAAGCTTAGTTACTAGAAAAATGATAACCAGATTTCCATGAAAACCCAAAACATTAAAAGAAAAACATCAATTAATAGAAACAAAAAAAAAAAGGAAATTGAAGGGCTCAAGATACTCGAATTGGAACTTACTTTCCGGTAACATGGCTATTTCTGCTTCAAGAACCTCCATGTGAGCTCGAGCTGCCTCACTTGTGATTTGCGAAACAATGGAGTCGGATTCTGAAAGTTGGACAGCATCGCCACTGTTTGCAGTGGTCCTCTTAGCTATCTCCTCCTGCAACTTTGCTTCGAGATCCTTCTCCTGCACATATATGATTTAGTTAAAAAACACAACCCCTTGTTGGCTCCAAAATATGCTTGCCTCTCAAAAGCTTTCCTGGTTTTTCACATTACCTTATCTTTAGCATTAGCAATTTTTCATTTGGCATCCCTTTTTTGTTCGACAGACCTTTCATTTTGCTCTTCATTCCATCCACTCGGTCTACTGGAGAAAAGATTGAAAAGTTATCCTCACTCGTAAATCTAAACAGCACAATTACAAAAATTGATTATTCACATATTATGTATATTCTACTTACTCAGTGTCGTGAGCCTCATCATATCCATCACCGCCTCCACCAAAACACTCCGTGGGCAGTTCCATCATCACAAGGTCGACATTACAGACCCCTAACTCAGAGATCAGATTCACCAAATTTTGAAAGAACAGTTGGTGCTTGCTTCCTCTAGAGACCTAACGGAAAATGAAGGTGGCGGAAATCACATGAATTATTTCCACCATTAAAGCCTATTGAAGTACTTATGCATAAATGTAATATACAAGGTAGAGTTCTTACACCTCACGGAAAGCAACGTCCGAGCTCAGAAGATGGAGGTGTAATACGTAAGCAAGAAAGTAGAGGATAGAAGCCATATGCCCTCTTCAATTATGCAATAGATGGCTTATAAACAGGCTAGATTAGAATGGTTTTTCCTATATATCTTCCTTTTGTTTAATTTCCAGATAAAATTTGTGGAATAAATATCTATGTTCAATCTCGCACACTGTCTGAATATGAGAAATGCAGACTAGGACTGGTTACTTGGTTAGAGTGTGAGCTCATGAATTATAAAAGTTTTACCTTCGAGCTTATTTCTTTCATATTAGAAGATGAACTGTGGCTGCGATAGAGCTTGAAGTTATCCCCATTTTCTTCAGAAATCGACTCGCAAGAACAAAATCTCTCCTTAAGCTTCAATTTATATTCTCGCATTCAGCCTTTGGGGAGATTGCATAGTTAACTCATGATGATCATGCCGGACATTGGAGAGCTGCTATTTGTACTGTCCTAGTTCCCTTCCCTCTTCGACATTTGGCAGGAGAATTTGGTGGCCAGTCAAAGTTTTTGGAATTTGTTAATATGTTTTTCCTTTTATGGTTGCAAAGTATCAGGAGTTTTAACTTTCTTTCCTATTTAATTTATTCTTCAGATTTGTTTCTATAAAAACTCATAGACCTAGATTTTTTTCTTCAGATTTTGTCCCGTAGAAGCTTGAAAGCATGAATATTCTTCAGATTTCTTTCCGTAAAATCCTAAAAGCATCGACTTCCTTTAATCTGATAAAACAATTCTTTTTGTTAAAAAAAAAAAAAAAAACAAACAATTCTTTCAAAACACTAGGGTGGGGATTAGATATTGAACCATTTTTATAGTTTCGAGGGTATGGATTATTAACTAATCTACATCTTTTTTGTTTCCTTGATTATTTTTTGTCCATCAATCTGAAATCATCATCCAAACAAAATCTATACATCTTAATTTTTAAAACGTAATGTACGAAACAAACCATTCAACGATATGCATCAATAATAATTAAAATTGTAACTCAAATAGCTAACTCTGTCATAAATCTGAGGAGCTATAACTAATTCTCCACCCTCCCCAAAACGTTTGTGAAAGAAAAGGAAAAAAATTTACTAATAATGTGTGCTAACAAAATATGTGCACTTCAACTCAAAGGAGAAAAATTCTCTCAATTACTCACCCACAAAATTCATTTAGATGCGTAAGATCTAATCTAATCCACTTTTCTTTACAAGATCACAATCAAATTTGAGAAAAATACATTAGTAAGATCTAAGAGTGTGGGCAAAAATAAAGGTGGAGACAAATTAGAAAAGTGTTAGAGAAGTTTCATACCTTCAGATTAGAGTGAGGGAACTGCAAAAGAGAAGCAGGAGAATTTTTGGAAAAGAATACAATAGATAAGTGGATCTAACCGTCAACGATTTTATCCTGTACAAAAGTGAGAAGCGAAGACACAAATAAATAGGGGGCGTCTAGAGTTTGAAGGGTATATTTGTAATTTAATTCAAAGTAAAAAAATGGGGATCCTTTTACTTTGTTAGCTATTTCCCTTTTGAATCTTGTTAGGCCGTCTCATTATCATGCCCCAAATTAAAAAATATTTTGATTTCTCAAGTTGGGGCGGCCTATTATATAACAAGCACAAGTGATCCTTCTATCTCGAGCTTGACCCCGCCTTGGAGATTGGCTTAGATCATGCTATACAAAATGACAAATCCTTGTTCTGGTAGTAGGCTATACGGTGGTATGTTGTACATATGTGATTTCAATTAAGCCATGTCTTCTATCAAATTATCTATTGTTTGTCAAAAAAAAAAAAAAAATTCATGTATGCTTCAATGGTCAATCGTAGGCTTTTTAGGTAGGCTTTTTAGCCAAAATGATCCCAGAGATTTGCATAACTCCTCATTTTGGTCCTTGAGATTTGAACTCCATAGAATTGGTCTCTGAGTTTGTCCACAATCAATCATTTTAGTCATTCTATGAAAAATTTCCATAAAATAAGGATAAAATGACAAAAATACCCTCAATTTTTGTCAAATTGTTTTAGCCTATTGTTTATTATATTGAGGGTAATTTTGTCACTTTGATCCTTATTTAACATAATTTTTCACTAAAGAACCAAAATGATTGATGGTGGACAATCTCATGGACCACTTCTATTGATTTCAAATATCAGGGACCAAAATGAAGAGTTAGACAAATCTCAGATACCATTTTAGCTAAAAAGCCTTTCAGGTATTATTATTCTTGTCCTATGTTTCATTGCTGAGAAAGTAACTGAAAATACAAAGAAATGTAACTCTTTAAAAAGAGTTACATATGTAAGAAATGTGAGAAATGTTCATATCAACATTTAAAAAGAGTTGCATATGTAAGAAATGTTGATATCAACATTTTAAAAGTTACATCCCCGAAACCCAGTAGTCTTGGCAATCTCAACCATATCCAAGTCCAACGAAAGCCTCACTCCACTAGTTTCACTCATCAAACTCCAACAATAGCCCTAATTCTTCTACTCCCTACCCTCCTCTTTAACTACCACCCCCGCCTCCACCATCTTCTTCTGTTCTCCTCCTGCGGCGGTGCCAATCAGATCATCTAAGGCTCCGGCAAGCTCGGCTTTGTTTACTCGAAAGTCTTCTTACCCACTTTCTTCATAAAGCACTTTTAACCTTTCCTACCAAACAGAGTCATAAGTGTTTTAGCTCTTCTTAAATCACTCCTAAACAAGACCAAAGTTCGAACGAAAGCACTTTCAAAAAAGCGCTTATGAGCAAAAATACTCTTACAAAAGCAGCCTTAATTAAACAAACGCTTAAGGACCTAAACCCAAGGTACTTTGAAATATTTGGAATCTTAACTCGAAGCAAATATCAAGAGAGATGAAGACATGAATATTCTAAAGGCTGTTAAGAAATAACTATGACAAACCTCATCTTAAAATTTACATTCCCCGTCACAAAGTAATTATGGTCGGCTTTCCCATGTAGGAGTTCATACAGAACTGAAGCAATCGAGTCCGACTCTGAAATTGGGACAGCATCACCGTTGTCTGGAGTGGCCCTCTTAGCCATCTGCTCCTGCAACTTTGCTTGGATATCTCTCTCCTGCTCATATGATTTAGTTACAAACAAACCTCTATGTTGGCTTCAAAAATGCTTGCCTCATAAAAGCTCGACTTGTTTTCATATTACCTTATCCTTTGCTAGAGCAACTTTTGCTTTCATGTCCCCTTTACATTGGACAGATCTTTCATTTTGCTCCTCAATCCATCCCCTCAGTGTCCTGGATAAAGGATTGAAAAGTTCTCATCACTCATAACGCAGAAAACACAGGACAATAACACAATTATAATTTACATATTATGTATCATCTACTTACTTTGTGTTAAGAGCCTCATCACAGATGAAATTCAGGAGCCTAAGCTTTTGGGAGAAGTTTAAGGCATTGTATCCCTCCCTGCTTCCAATAAAACACTCTGCAGGCAGCTCCTTCATCACAGGGTCGACCTTAGAGACCCCCGATGCAGACACCAGCTTCGCCAAATCTTGGAACCATGACCAGTTGTTGCTTGCCTGCTCTAGAGACCTAACAGAAAGTGAAGATGTCAGAAACCACATGAATTATTTCCCTCATTAAATACTAGAAGTACTTTATGCATAACAATAGTATACTAGGTAGAGTTCTTACTCCTGTAATAAACCCTTCTGTATGAAGAAGAGCATATAGCTACGAAATCGAACTACGGAGGAGTACTGTCCAGGACGTCCACTTCGCCCACTTCCTCCACGTGATAGTTCCCGAAGAACAGACTGAGCTTGGGACTTTTCAATCTTAAAAAGCTAGAGTAAAAAGAATAAAGGATGAGATTTCAAGTGTCAAAGTAAATTAAAACAAGTTTAGAGCATCTTTCAATCAAACATCTAATAGAACAAAAATTACCTCTCTAAAAGTTTCACAAAACTTAAAAAATTGGAGAGTATTTCCCACATCCTCAGCAGCTAATTTGACACCCGCTACAGTTGTCAATGGGGTGCCCTGAGGTAGGGGAAGCTCAACCTCTCTACTCTCGACGTGGCATTCCTTGACCCTGCAACGCCCTCTTGCAGCCTTGGCCTTGGCCTTGGCATCATCATCATTCACAGCAGCAGCAGCATCATCTCTGCTGTCATTACAAGTTCCCATCAACTCGCCCGGCTTTGCTGCATCTGAGTTCACATCTTCCCTCTGATCAAGGGCATTCTCCCTCCCTCGTTTGCAAGGTGATCAAAACTCGTTGCCTGCCAAAACCGAGATCATAAACCGGCTTAAACAGCAATAAAACCAATCAAAACATAAAATTGTAATCAACAGCACCAAACCTTGTCTGAAGCCACATGCATTCGCCCTTTACCATCCTTGCCGTCACCATTCTCCTTCTTTTGCAGCTTCTCCACACGCAACATATCAGCAACAGATTGATACCCTTTCTTCTTGGCTTTGTGCATGCGAATACCAGTGGGTATTAAACCGGCTTTGTTACTGAAAAACACACTTCTCTAATTGGCAGCAGCACCAAAACGTAAACAACTACAAATACAAAGTTAACGGTTATATGGCATTCCATACACTTACTAGCATATACTACAATTGCATTTGCCTAGACATTTCGTACATTTCTGTGCCACTGCCTCAGGCGTCAATGTATTACCTATTCTCAATTCAACACCCACCACCAATTTTAGTCCAAAAAATTTACTCCAAAACCGAAAAAAAGGAGACTAATTTTCATTCTAATCGAACCTGTTCTTCAGACAACTATGGCATAGCTGAACCGTGCAAGGGCCTTTGGCTTTGACCATTTTAGACAACACCGCGAGTTCCGTCTTCCTCTGACGGCACTGCAGAATTTAACCAAAAATTAAATTAACCAAAAAAAGATAATTCTACTCCGGATTACATAAATTCCTGACATTGTCTCGTCATCCAAACAAAATAAAAGAAACACGATAAAAAAAGCTACGAAAATCAACTCTTCCCTACATTTAAAAATCTTCTCACCAAACAAAACACAGCCCCTCGAATCGCGTACTTGGAATCCAAAAACAAAACTCAACTGGTGACAGGTCTTGTTCTTTGAACCCGCGATCCAAACCTCAGACTGCCATACTCCTGGATAACCATATTCTTTGCGGCGGGGTTGACCTCGACCTCCATCCTCTCAACCGTAGCAGCAGCAAAGCTCAAAGCCATCGCCAGAAGTACAGAATCACTCACACCTCAAATTTATACCTTGAACTCGGGCACCAGGAAGATTTCAGAATTGACACCTCTGCGACCTGTCACTTTGGCATACTTCAGAGGTGACAATCCTTTTGTATTTCTGAATCGAGTTTTTGGAGAGAAATGGGGATGGCTTCGAGCTCTGCTATGCTACGATTAAGAGGATGGAAGTGGAGGTCAGCTCCGTTGCAGAAAATAACGTGGTTGTCCAGAAACACGGCAGTGTGGCAGTAGGAGGCTGGATCGCCTGTTCGAAGAATGAAACCTATCACCAGGTGAGTTTTGTTTATTTTTCGGCTTCAAGTACGCGATTCAAGGGCTTGGTTTTATTTGGTGAAAGGGTTTCGAATGTACGGGAGAGTTGATTTTCCTAGCCCATTTTATCTTGTTTTTGTTTTTATTTCTGTTTGGATGATGAGAAAGCATCTACTGTTAATGAAATTTGGAGTTATCTTTTTGGTTAATTTTTTTGTTGATTAAATTCCGCAATGCCGTCAAAGAAAGATGGAATTTGCGGCGTTATGCAAGGACGTCAAAGCAAAATTCATTTGCCCGATTCTGGTATGACATACCTGTCTTATGAATGGGCTACAGAGAATGAATTGTTCTCTCTTCTTTTTGTTTTTCTGTTGAAGTTTGTTGAATAACTTGGTATTTGTTCAAGTCTGAACTCTTTAATCTCACACAATCTAAATTTAAGAGCATGTTGTCATTTAGTATTATGGTCTAATGATATTCCTCTTCATTTGTAATTGAGATGTCTTAGGTTCGATTCTTAGTAAAGGCGAATTTGAACCACAGTATTGCTAACTCATTATGAGACTAAGCTCACCTCCTTCCCTTTGCGTAAATAATATCGTTTGTTCAACAAAAAAAAAAAAAAAAAAAAAACACTTAGGAGTATGTTGCGTTCCCAACCAGGCATCCGGATTTAAAACTCCTCTTTTATAAATTATTTTAATAATTTTGAACCTTCATTCTCTCCTTAAAAATAATAATTAAAAAAAAAAAAAAAAAAAAAAGATTATGACTATTCAGAGTGTGAGCTCGTGAATCTTTTGTTAAGAAAATTTACTAATGTAATGTTTTGAATAAGTTATAGCTACCATGCATGCATGTCCAAGCTTTTAATTTAATGTTTTTAAACCAAGAATTGTTTAAAATGTTGCTCAATTTTAACTGGATAAATAAAAGTGTTAGTGACTTAAATAGTTAATTGTTAAGAATGATACATCGGTAGAGATCAACATACACCAAGGTGCATAGGCGCCATTGTTTTTCACAACTGTGGTAAAAAAAAAACACCACACTTGCGTTGAAAATTTCATCGTAGAAGTTATTTTTTATGTATTGCATAATGAACTGTTATTCAAATTTTGAAGGTACAATTTACTAATCTACATTTGTTTTTTAAGAAAACTAACAAAAAGTTCAAAAATTTTAGTTTTAATGAAAATAGACAAATAAAGATATAGTGAATAGTATCAGAGAAATGTAAAAATGTAGTTTTTCGTTCAAAATGAATAGTACCAAGAATGTTAAAACTCCCTTATTTTTTTCCTTAAAATTTTCTTAAAAAATAAAAAAATATATGCTTGAGGAATGATAACTATCGTGAAAAGACTACCTAATGTTATGTATTTCTTCCTACTCAATGGAAATTTATTACTTTAAAAAACTTAACTATTTCACTAATTCATATCAAAGAATATCCTAAATTCTTAGCAAGGTAAAGCCACTTAATACTACGGTCTAGCAGTATTTCTCTTTAGCGAGTTCGAACCATATTATTGCTAGCCCATTGTGAGGCTAAGTCCACCCCCTCTCCTTTAGTGTGGATAATATTGTTTGTTAAAAAAAAGGTAAAAATCTATCAATTTCAAATCATCATCCTCTAAACACCTTGTCAACCCTCTTTTGAGTCATCATTTTCCGTAGTAAAACTCAAAATCATGGTCACTTCTTCAAAGCAAGTCCACCAGGAGTGGATTGCCCATCACCCAACATCCAAAACAGGCCGGCCCTCAGCCAAATCACTCCACCCCAGCCTAATAAGCTGGCACCCAGCCTAAGCCAAGCAAGAGACTGGCCCAGAATCGACAGACCCAACAGCCAGGCCATTTGACATGAGCAATCCTGTGCTTAGCAGCCACAACGGTGTTGGTCATAGGGGCGTTCACCACCAAGCACCCAAACTTAGTTGCCGCAGCCAGATCCACGTTGTTGATGCCGACACCAGTGTTCCCACAACCTTCAACCTCCCGCCAAAGGACTCGAACACCTCGCAGGTGACCTTGGTCCCGCTACGTACAATCAACGCGTCGCAAAGAGAGATCTTGGTGCAGAGCTCCTCGGGGCTAAGATTGTAGGAGTAGTCGACATTAGCGAACTGCTTGAAGAGGTTGATTCCGGGTTCTCCGAGCTTCTCTGAGATGAGGATGGTGGGATTGGCATCACCGGTTGGGCCAACAGTGATGCTAGAGGAGGTAGCGACAGTGGTGTTATTGTATGTATAGGTGTGTGTCAAGTGTATAAATTGCTGGGTGTAATTTATAATAATATTTTATAAAAATATCAAAAAATAAAAATATTTTTTTATAAAGTTAGAAATTAAAAATTAATTTTTTTAGTTATTTTGTAATAATAATAATAATATTTTAATAAAATTGTATAGGCTATTTTTTGTTAGGGGTGGAGATGCATTTGGCATATTACTGTTCCTTGGGATCTATCACTATTCCCTGAGTGGATTAAATAGGCTAGGTGCTATCGCATTGTTTTAAGGGATGGACTTGCTCTCATAAAGAGAGAATCTAATCACCAAGGCAAGCAATCCCCCAGTTGTGCAAAAATTATATACATTAATGATATAATCTAATCCAATTTTCAAGATATATAGTTACAATTAAAAAAAAAACATTGAAATGATATGCATTAATAATCCAATAACGGACTTGCGACTCAAGTGATTGTGACCATTGATCTCTGAATTTGAAATTCTAATCGATTCGCTACTCTCTCAACACACACGTATAAGAAAATGATACTAATATGCTAACTTGGGCTAATAATTATGCACCGACAGAATTCATTTTGATGAGATAACAATCATCAAAATATCTAATTTAATCCATTTTCATTACAAGATTACAATCAAACTTGAGAAAAATGCAAAATTAGTATAAATCTGAGAGTATTAGCACACTTGCAATTGAGATATAACAAATGCTAGAGAAGTTACATACCTTCAGATTAGAGTGAGGGAAATGCAAAATAGAGGCAGATTTATGGCTGAAATTTTTTGTTGAAAAATACAAGACAAGATAAATCTGAGCAGCGGCAGCCTTTGTTGGTATGAAAGTGAGACGAAAACACATATAAATAGGAGGTGCCTAGGGTTTAGAGGGTATATTTGGAATTCAATAAAATTAAATAAAATTAAATGATGGCCACCTTTTCTTCGCTATCCATTTTTCTTTTCATTCATGGTAGGTACACTATCATGATGTTGATAATCACACCTCAACTTGAAAATATTCTGATTTCTTAAGTTGAGCCAGCCCACTCTATAATGTGCACAATTGATCCTTCAATCTCGAGCTTCACTCGACCTTGTTTTGGTAGTAGGCTAGATGGTGATATGTCACGCGATGTTACTTAAGTCATTTTAACAGAGTGCAAGGACCTTAGCAATAATCGAGTCAAGTTTCTAGCATTATTTAACAAATGATCATGAATATGACTTAAATGTCTCTCATTTATATATGGCATGTGAAGGTGCTATGTACTCACTGAAATAAAAATTTGTTTTGTAGATGACGCTTTATCGCAGTGGCAAAAAACAATTATACTCATACATCCTGATGCTGGTTGATCCTCATCAATTTCCCTCTCCTCTAGGTTAAAGGTTTGCTTTTGACAACTGTATAGAACTTGGGTTGATCTTATATAGAAAAGTACATTTATTATTTACTAGCCAATTAACCCTCTTAAGCTTTCTTAGAGTTTGGTTGGCTTAATAGTTAATAGCACATCCAAATGCACATGGACCCGCATGTGTTTTCAGCGCTAGCTTTTACTTCATTGTTTTCTTTAGGATTGAATGTAACCGTTGCGATTGTCACATTCTTCGAGATTGAAATCACTACTTGCATTCAAGTTTTTCTCGTTTTCTTCAGTACTCAACCATTACAAGTGAAATAAAGAAGCAATGAAAAATCACAGCACACCCAAGTTTTTCTCGTTTTTATCAAGAATCAAAGAAACAAGCATACAACCAAGTTTTTTTTCGTTTTCTTTGAGAACTAACCGTTACAAATGAGATAAAGATTTATGAAATCACATCTTACACCCAAGTTTTTATCACTTTATCCAACGCCAAACCGTTACGGATAAGATAGAGAAACAGTGAAATATCATCTTACACCCAACCAAATTGAGCACAGGTAGAGAAACGTGAAATCATAGCTTACATCGAAATTTAACTCGTCACATTGTTTTACATTTCCCATCACAACATAAAATTAGGGAAATAATTTTTGCGCACTCCTTCTGCACACTATCATTTACATGTCCCTTGATTGATTGTTGTTAAATTCTTTCAATTCAGAGGCCAAAAGTAACCAAAGTGTGCATGAGGATTAAAGGTAGTACGAAATAACTTCCCTAACATTAAGATACAACTATCCAAAAGTTCAGATCAACTTTTCTTTCCGTCTGAGGCCGTCGGCCGGCTACTCCACATCACTTCCCCGCCATACAGAGGGAAATCTGAAGTAGGTAACAACCATCCCATATAGGGGTTTGTGCAGAAACTGGGGGAGATAAATACTGTCTTCTGATGGCTCAAAACTTTAATTAGCCTCAGGACTGAGCTCCATGTTTTCTTCATTGCTTTGAGAAGGTGTCGGAAACCGGAGGGTTTTCTTCATTGCTTTCAGGAGTCTGAGGAACCTGCAAGTCTTCTTTGCTTGCAAACCGACTTTTGAATGGCCTCTGGCTCCTGGCCCGTTCTTGTCTGCAAGCCAAGCAAACAATGAATGCATGAACAACCAGTCCATTGAAAAGGGAGGAAGAGAAAACTGTGCGATATCAGAACAATTTCAACCTAATTAAAAATGTAGAACAATTATATGTGCGTACTTTAGACTTAGAAAAGAGAGGTATTTTTCGATTGGCTCTTTCATTTCAGCGCCATAAACGAACCAGTTTTCAACAGAAGGAGCTCCATCCCATGTTCCCATATCTGTACAATACGCAAACATAAAGCTTACACATCGAAATAACTCATGACCTGGAAATCTACCAATTGTATTTGGCACAGTTAAGACTAACCTTGAAGCAAAATATCTTCACCAAAATCACCGTTCAGTTTCCAAAATGCACGGCCATGAACATCCAAAACATAAGCCTTTATTCTAACAGCTTCACATATTTCATTGCCTATAAAATAGGTCAAAACATTTTAACACGGGCATGTATAGCAAGGTTGCTTGCAGGATACGAAAGCTTAACAATTAGCAAACTGATAACCCGATTTTCATGAAGAATTAAAACATGAAAAACATTCAACCACAGAAAAATGTCTCAGATATTCTTAAGGATAGTTTTAAATGGGAACTTACTTTTAGGTGACATGGCCATTGCTTCAACCACCTCAGTGTGAGCTTGAGCTGCCTTGCTTGTGATTTGTGAAACAACAGAGTTACGTTCTGAAATTCGGACAGGATAACCATTGTTTGCAATTATCCTCTTAGTCATCTCCTTCTGCAACTTCTTTTTGAGATCTCTCTCCTGCAAATATATGATTTAGTTAAAAATAGAACTCCATGTTTTCTTCAAAAGATGTTGCCTCATAAAAGGTTGCCTTGTTTTACATATTACCTTATCCTTTGCTTTAGCAACTTTTTCTTTGGCATCCCTTTTTCGTTGGACCAATTTTTCATTTTGGTCCTCTATCCATCCACTTAGCATACTGAAGGAAATATCAGAAAGTTCTCATCACTCTTAATCCAGAAGCCAAGACAATTGCAAAATAATGATTCACATATTATGCTTATTCACTTACTCGGTGTCAAGAGCCTCATCACAAAGGAAATTCAAAATCCTGAGCTTTTGAGTGATGTTCAACATATCATATCCATCCCCACCTTTGCTAAAACACTCTGGGGACAGTTCCTTTAATACAGGATCGACCTTAGAGACACCGGACGCAGAGATAAGTTCCCCCAAATCTTGGAACCAGGACTTATTGTAGCTTGATTGATCTAAAGAAGAAGACCTGACAGGAAATAAAGTTGACAGAAACCAAATGAGTTACTTCCCGCAACTAAAGCTTACTAAATTACTTTATGCATAAATGGAAAATGCTAGGTAGAGTTCTTACTCCTCTAAGGAACCCTTCTGTATGAAGGAGAGCATATAGTTATGAAATCGAATCACTGAGGAGTATTGTCCAGGCCGTCCCCTTCGCCCACTTCCTCGACGTGATAGTTCTCTAAGTACAGATTCAGCTTGGCATTTTTGGATTTTAAGAAACTAAAGTGAAAGGAAAAGGAAAATGAGATTTCAAGTGCAGTGAATTTCAGGAATGTTTAAACACAAAATAAATGTGCAAAAATGAGAACCATTTCATATTAATAGAACGCAAATGAATCATGTGAGCATCTAAATGCAAAGGGCTAAACAGATACTTCAATCAGTTTTGATTCAGGTATAGAACCAGAAAACTTGAACACCATTATAGTCTAATATGTAACAGAAGTATGGAACAAAAAGTTAGAATTACCTCTCCAAAAGTTTCACAAAATTTCAGAAACTGCAGAGCATTTCCAACATCCTCAGCAGCCAATTCAACACCAGCTACAGTTGTCAAGGGATTGCCCTGTGGCAGGGGAAGGTCAAGATCAACCTTTTGATTCTCAATATTCACGGGGCATTCCTTTACTTTCCGGTTCCTTCTGACTTCCTTGACCTTGGGCTTGGCATCCTTATTACTCACAGCAGCACCAACATCTCTGCTGCCATTACAAACTTCTGTCAACTCTTCCCGCTTTGCTTTCTTAGTTTCCTGCTCACCAGAGTTCAGAGCTGCATCCAAGTTCATATCTTTGCTTCGATTAAGAGTGTTCTCCTTCCCTCGTTTTCTTGGTGAACCAACGACAATTGCCTATCAAAAGTCGAGAGCATAAAAACATCACTAAAACCAACCAAAACGACATCAACAATATCAATATGCATTAAAAAAAGCAAACATAATCAAAAGCACCAGACCTTCTCTGAAGCGACACGCTTTTGTGGTGAGCCATCCTTGCTTTTGTCATCCTCCTCCCCTTGCTTTTTTGGCTTGTACATAGTAAGCATATCAGAAACAGATTGAAACCCTCTCGCCTTGGCTTCGTACACGAGAAGACCAGTGGGTTGGTAACCGTTTTTCTTCCTGATAAAGCACATTAGTCTAATCAGCCGCAGCACCAAAACACCAACAACTATAAAAACACATTTGTCTAATATACCAAACACTTACAAGCATATACTGCAATTGCAATTGCCTTGACATTTCGGACATTTCCAATCATCCTCGAGTTCCACTTGTTCAGCTTTCAATCCATACCTATTCTCAATTCAACACCCAAATACTAATTTCAATCCGAAAACTTAATTCAAAAACACAAAAAATGAGAGAAAAAATCATTCCAATCTAACCTGTTCCACAGACACTTATGGCAAAATTGAATCGGACAAATGCCTTTCGCTTTGACGTTCTTACAGGCGGCAGCCAAAGCTGTCAACCTTTCCGTCATCTTCTGACGGCACTGAAGAATTCAACCAACAAATCAATAAACAAATTGACCGACAAAGATAAATCCACCCCAAGTTTCATAATTCCCAACCTTTTTTCGTCATCCAAAGAGAAACAGAAACCAAGAAAAAGGGCTAGGAAAGTCGAATCCTTTACATTGAAAATTTTCTCATCAACCAAACAGACGCCCAACCTCCAAATCAAGTACCCAAAACCGAAAACGAAACAAAAATCACCTGATGGCAGGAAACTCCTTTCTTAGAGTCGTAGGTCTGGCCACCGACGGCCCGAACGCGTTGTTTCCCGACCACCAGAGTATCCTCAACCTTGTTGCTCTCCTCCACCACCATCTTGCGAGCTGAGGCGACGTCTTCCGCAGCGGAGCTCGAGTAAAACTCCCCTTTCTCTCCCGTTCTCTATAGTCTGAGATTCGGACAGAGCAGTGAGTGGAGGGGAGAGAGCAGCTATTTCTAATTTTGTAATGTGTCTGAAATTTCCTTTCCCCGCCTCTTCGAGGTTGGCGGGAGAATTTTGGTCGTCACTCAAATTTTGGGCTTCGACTTTGGGACTCGTGTAACGTTTTTCATTTTTCAAATTTTTTCACGTTTACAGCAACCCTGGCAGTCCCCGAATTGCCCTTGCAATTAGGTTGAACTGCCCTTCTCTCGAAAAATAGATTTAGCAGATGAAAAAATAGGGGCGTTTGGGTGAAAGGCAGGAGCCCGCTGGGCTGCCCTGCCAACTAAAGGCAGGGCTTGAGCCCGCTTGCAACTCAGGATATCAGTAGTAGACATCCCCATCGCACGTGAAATGCAACGAGGCAAATGGTTCAAATTTGGATGCTTGACAGCCGTTGGATTTTCAATGATCTGTTAATCAGGACCGTTGGATTTCCAATGGTTAAAAAATAGAAAATATGTTATCGCACCATGTGGCGCCTCTAAATTCAAAAAAATTAGGCCGATTTTTTTTACCCTTCTCGACGTGAGCAATTTATACACACTGGTACACAATCATTTTAATCTAACTTCTGATTTTTTTATTTTTTTATTTTTGTCTTTTTTGATTCATGAACTAAATAAAGAATGAAAGATGGTGTGTATAAATCAATTCTCAACTTGCTTCTACTTTGCACTATATTTAATGTAAGGGAAATGACACTCACACACTTATTTTCCCTTTGTGCACCCTCTATTTATGTTAATTTAAATATTAAAAATAACTAAGTGTGCATTAAGAGAAAAAATAGCGTGTGAAAATTATTTTTCTTAAAACAATTGGTTGTTGACGCTTTATATTAACTATATTGAGAGTTATCACTAGGATCATATGTTAATTTTAACTTACCCACCACTCTCTAACACCTTTTTTTTTCTCTCTTAGATCAATTGCCTCACGTGTAGCAAATGAATTTATTGTTGTTTGTGAGGCAGTTAATTGAACTATTACACTTTTGACAAATGGCCAATTTGCCAACCACTCTTGACAAAGGAGAGCAAGAAGGTATACGACTCCAAGAAAAACAATAACGCAAAGCTCACAAGTATATACTATTCAACTTAAAAATAAAAAAGCATAAATAATATAGATCTAAGAGTACTTGCAACAATGCAATAGAAGCAAACAAAATGTTGGAGAAATTTGATACCTTCAGGAAAGGGTGAGGGAACAACAAAAGATGAGCATAAATTTCAATGGAGAAAGTTTGTGATAAGTACAATAGATAATGTAGATCTGTGAGTTGTATATGAGAGATCTTGCTTGTTGAAACAATCTCTATTTCATTTTTTACAACTCTCATTCAAACCTTATCAATCTCTCTTGCGGATTGTTGTAGCTATAGCCATTGATTCAATAAGTAGCTTAGATTAGATTTTGAAGCACAAGATGTGCATAAGTTTGAATTGGAGTTGTCAAAAATAGAATTGCAATTATTTTAGAGGCATGCTCGAGATAAAGAGTAGTGTAAAAAATGAAATATCTATAGTACCCTTTAATTTAAAGTTTATTTGACGGGATAGACGAAAATAGAATGAACTCGCTACTTAAGACAAAACTGACAATTTCAAGAAGTAAAGTGAGACAAAATCAGTTTCAAAGAAAGTTAGAAGCCTAACCCTTAACATATACAAAATATACATTAGCCTCAAAATGTGGGGGAAATAGGGCTTAAAAATAAAATTTTTAAAAACAAGTGGCTTAAAGTAGTTATGAAAAATTCATGCCAGAAAAATGTTGTGGCCTGCGATTAAATAAATAAACAAAAGTGGGGTATTCGACTAAAAGCCTCTAATTTTCTTGTACGTTGACCATTAGTTTCTGGTTAGCTGCTGAAGGTAGTCAGATAGAGTTCATCCACGCAAACCATATCGCCGGTGAGTCCTTCGTGGCAGAAACCTAATGGACCAATAGCGATAAGGAGAATCCACTCTGGATTTCTTTCATTCCATGTCAGACTGTCAGTGACACTTTCTTACTGTTCCTTTCAATCGTGGGCTTTTCATGTATTATTTGTACTTAATTATGTCTTTCCATTAATGGCAGAACCAAGCACAAGTACAAACAACCTCAGACTTTGTCCCTCTCACAGAACCTCTGCATTGAGGTAATCTGGGAAATACTTGGGAGTTGGACTTGGAGGTATGTAAACCTACCCTTTTGAGATTTTTCTGTTTTGTTCAGGAAAGTTGGTATTTTGAGTAACTTCTGTTTGGTTGCTGAGAAAATAACTGAAATTTCCAAGAAAAAAGTCTCCTGCTTTGTATTGTATTTGAAGAGAATTATGGTTTCTGGATTCAAAGCTTGTTTTTGGTAACAGTGGAGAATTTGGGTTGGTTATAAATGGAAATTTCTTTCAGAATTAACCAGGCAAACCATGTTAAGCTTTTGTGTGTTTGTCTGGTATAAAGTTGGCCTTTTGAGTCTCTGTTTGGTTGCTGAGAAAATAACTGAAACTAACTAGAAAAAGTCACATGCTTTAATGTTGCACTTGTAAAAAATTTGCTCTCTAGTACTAATTTTTACTTCCTCATAATTTTTCTTCAAGGGATTCTTACATGCAACGGCTGTGATTTTACGTGACGAGTGAGATATAGAGCGGAGATAAACCACTGGTTATCACTATTGTTGTATATATTGGCGTTAGTTCATGCATGATACACTTTTTGTTGTTTGGCTTCTTTCTTTTTCAGGAACACATGGCCGTGGTTCCAATATGCTACAAAATGCCATATAGAGGCTGTGGTGAATCAAATCACTATGTAATCGGACAGAGGGACAGAGGGTTTCGATGTGATTGTATTCCAACTTCAGAAAATAATGCAAGAAAACATAAGATTCTTGGGATGGTTTGGTATGCTGCATCAGATTCTGGGAACCATTTGAGATCCTTGGATTCTTACTTTGGGAAGCTCCAAAACGTCACAAATGTGCCTCTGGACGAGTCAAACACGACAAGGGAGCAACCACTCAGTAAAAATAATGGTCAGCTGAGACTAAAGGAGGGTTTGGAGTCTCTTGATGATTATCTTGGAAAACTTAGAAATCAAGGTAAAATTATCTTCCCAGCTGAGTCGTTTGTGTGTGTTACTTTTAGAAATGACGTTTTAATTCTTATATTTTGTATTAACTCAGATGGAGACTCGACGAAATCATCTAGTTCTGTTGATCTTGCTACTGAAGACATTCCAATTGCAAAACCATCAGCTATCAATCGAGATTCCGGAAAAGGTGATGAGAGGGTACTGAAGGCATTCAGAAATCCTATACGTGAAAGGGATGATCTTGGTCCAAAGATTTCTAAAGACTCGCTCGAGTATAATGAAATCTCTGATCTCTACTTAATGTAAGACCCTGCCCTATCTAAATTAGTACTCAGAAATATGCACCAATCGAACTGGTTATAAACTTTTAATCAGAAATATGCACCCATCGAACTGGTTATAAACTAAATAGACTCGTAAGTTTGTATATAAACCGCAGTTTTATGTTCTGCCAGTTTTATTTTTGATTAAAAGTTTGTGACCGGTATATTTATTCATATAATATTGGGAACCGAAAATCCTGGTTAAATCTGGGAGCTCCTTAGGAATAATGACATTTTGCTTCTTTGTTCTTTATGTTGGATGCAGAAGCCTATTAGGTTCTGTAAACATTGCAGTTTTTCTGTTCGAGATTGCGAGTCCGGTTAGGAACACTGACTTAGGGCTCTTCTCTCTTCCATTGCTATATGGAGCAAAGATAAATGATTTGATCCTGGTTGGAGAATGGTGGAGGCTAGTCACACCCATGTTTCTGGTACAAGACCGACGATTCGGTTCGTGTTTCGATTCTGTTTCCATTTCAACATTATCCGTGATAATTTGCATTAGCTAGTTAACCACTGGATTTGAATGTGAACGTATCAAATAATTATAGGGCTTTGCACATTACTAGAGATTTATCTGGCCTTAACATTTGTCGGGTATCTAAATATCGTTTATGAAACGTCCAGTTTGTTGGTTCTTAGTATAATGCAGCACGTATATGCTTTCTGGTTTATGAAATATCTGCAAGATCCGCCTCACAATTTGTATCGATTAAGAAAATAGTAGGAATTCCTAAAGCGATAAATTCTTGAAGAGCATTTGCATATTCTTCTTCCTGATCAACGATTATCACGTGGCTCCTGTAACTTATGCAGCACTCGGGGCTTTTCCACATAGCTGTTGGTTGCTGGGGACTCGTTGTATTTGGGCCTAAAGTGTGCAGAGGCTATGGATCATTCACATTTTTCTTGATTTACATACTCGGAGGAGTCTCCGGCAACTTGATTAGCTTTCTTCATACACCAGAGCCAACTGTTGGTGGAACGGTAAGCAGCTCTGCTCCTCAAATTCCACTTCATTTCTACGAATCTAGTTACCCCTTTTCTCTTCTCTTCCGATGTGCTTTAAGTTCGTAATGTGATTGCAGGGACCAATATTCGCCATGATCGGAGCTTGGCTTGCTTATCAGGTCCAAAACAAGGACATAATTTCAAAGGATATTTCGGAGAGTATGTTCCAAAAGGCTGTCATAACCACGCTTCTTAGCTTCGCGTTGAGCATTTTCGGTCCTATTGATGATTGGTAAGCTACCAGACGCATTTTCAAGTTTTGAATATACTTATTCGTTTTTTTTTATTTTCATATCAGAAAACATTACGAGACTGTCCCTGAGTGACCTTATATCATATTATGTTGTTGCAGGACACATTTTGGAGCAGCATTTGCAGGAGTGGCATATGGGTTTTTGACATGCCCAACTCTTCAACTGGATGATGCATCATCTTCTTCAACAAGTGGCCAAGAGGAAGGAATCGCACTTGTTAGACGATATGCAGATCCTTGCAAATCACTGTTTTTCTTTGCCTATTTGTTCTTGTATTAAGCTCTCTACTTTTCTTTGTGGGACCTCCCCTGAATGTCATTGCATCAGATACTTCTCTGTAAAACTTCTACAAGGATGCGAAACCATCAATTTATACAACACATTAGCTCATATGTGTTTCTTGTGTAGCACGCAAGAGGGTAAACCTTCAATTTTGACAGTGTGTATCAATTTTTACATGCAATCGGTTTGTAACAGTTTGTGAGACTTGAGCCTCAAGAGTAGAGAGAATAGTAGGGCCACGTGACTAGGACACCTCTTATATCGGGTGGAACAAGCTTGAGGCTGGTTTAGACAAATTATAGAGGGTCTCGTACTTTTTTGAGAGGCCAAAACGAAGCCAGCCTTGAACTTTGGGGTTGGCAGTGACCTTGTGCGAGGGGTAGGTTAGCATGGGAGGGCTATAACACGCGTGCCCTCGGATTACTTCCCTCATTTTCTAGTGATTCTTCTACATCTTTCTAGTCTTGAGGTGGGCCATAGCACGTGTGCCTCGAACACTGCTAAGTTTTTCTCCTGAGAGTCTAATGAAATAAAATTATGCTACAGTCAGTCGTTTATGTACGTGAATAATTTTAATTACATATGCACACATATCTCATGATGACTGAACCTAGTGTCCCTTTGAACAACGTCATTGGCCAACAAGGTAATTAATTAATTAAACGAACTCCCGACAGCCTGCATGTGAACCAAGTGACCTTTTGTTCTAACAAATATGGCTCCCAAATCCAAACTATAATTTCATTTGTTTGTTTTTTCAGACCAGAATTCTTCATGCATGGTGTATCTCCACGTTAAAGGAACCATACCCTTGCTTGCTGACACGTTTACAGTTGGGTTACTTACAACAAACCACGTAACACAAAGAGCCTTCTGTCCTTTTCATCCATCAGCTTTGAATCTCTCTGTGTCACTCAGGTCTCAGGGTGTGTACTTTTGAGCTTGGAGTTTAAAAGTGCGTATAGTTTGAGAACTAAAAGATTGAAGGGTTGCAGCTTGAGCTTTTGAAGCTTTGATATCAATGGCGGTCGGAAGGATTGGTAGAGGTTTAATGGCTCCTCTTCTGGTAGTCAACTTGGTGGTCCATCTGATCATGCTTGGACTTGCTTGTTGGTCCCTTGATAAATACATCAATGGAGAGCAAAATTACGCCCGTAAGCACTGTCTCTCTCAATCACTCCTCTTTTTTTTAGTTTTCATTACTTATTTTACGCCCACTAGAATGTCAAGAGAAAATATGCACAAATAGAATCAACTCTGCAAACTAGTAGTGGGAGAGACTAAACATCGTACGTAAATCACGGTATAGTGCCTCGTTTTATTGACTATTTAGTATTCCTCTAGTCATCGATGTGCGTTAAGTCAATTGATCATATTGTTTATTTTATTGTCCATTTAGTATCCTCTAGTACTCGAGTTGGGTTAAGTCAGTTAATTAGATTGCATGTTCTATTGTCGGTGTAGTATTCCTCTAGTATTCGACGTGAATTAGGACAGTTGATCAAAAAAGTGTCACTCATGTGTACCGAGTACGATTACCCTGTGCATAGATTAGAGTAGTTTAGAATACTATGGTTGAAATAGGGTTTTGAGCTCTGATACTTTTGTACAGATTTGGGAGGCAATACATCGACTAGCTTCTTGTTGATCTTTGCATTGATAGCCGGTGTGGTTGGTGCTGCTTCTGTGCTTTACGGTCTGATACATCTCCGGATATGGCGAACCAATAGTTTAGCCGGTGCAGCTTCTTCGGCTATCGTAGCCCTGACGATTATCGCATTCGCTTCGGGTAGTTTTCTCTCCCCTCTCCGCCCCAAAATCAACATGAAAAAGTGCTTACATTTTCATAACAAAAGTGAAGAAATTAATCAGTTTTGGTTGGATGTGTCTGATGCAGTTTTGTGTGTAACGAGATAATATTAGGAGGGCACAGAGGAAAACGCTTGGTAAGAGAATTTTTAAGCAAATATTGCTGTTTGCTGAGGCACAATTAAACAAGTTAAAACTAGATTATGTAAATTAATTGGTGTTTTTCAGCAAACACTGGAAGCTATGATTGCAATATCACTACTAGGTCAATTGCTTTACCTGGTGCTTCTGCATGCTGGGATGTTTAGGAGCAGACATAGACATGGTGGAATTGGCACCGGTCATGACCCCCGGAGCACCGGCGCAACAACTGTGATCTGACTTCCGTTCACATCAGCAGCTGTAAATTAAACAACACAATGTCTCTGTTTCATTAGCCGCGCTCTGCGTTTGTATCAGTTTTTTTCCGGTTAGTTTGGTGGGAATGGAACGCTGGACGTACCCTAATCCTGACAGGAGCAAGAAGGTGGGGCTTATGTTTGTATGAGTTTCGGTGTATACCGATCTCAAAAACCCAAACGCAAAACAGTTCTTTACCGAATTCAAAAACCCGGAGCAAAAAATATGCAGAACGAAAATATTAAGTTAACACAGTTATACATAACCAACATCGATTATTCGAGCTACCGGAAAATTTTCGGACATAATTCCTATTATTCTGGTTCATCATCGGCTTTCCATTCTACGATTGCCAACGTATGGCGTCCTCCAGAAGCGACGAGTTTGGCAATCCAGTGTCCATTGTCTGCGGTGCCATTTCTGGGAGGGATGCTGATGGGAACTTCCATCGGCTGACCAGTCGTCACCTTCCTTCCATATCCAAGGCGTCCGTGGTCGCCTCGGCCAAACTGCCGATACAAAGACAAGTTGTTGGATCAAACAAAAATGGTGGAACCAGATGTGATGTGGAAAGAAACTCAAGATATTGCAAGAACTAAAGCAAGATAGTGAGAAACTAACGTAAGCAAATTATCTTTTAACTCGTATCGGTGAAAAATTCTTACCGAATACATTCGCCCGTCACGAGTTAATGCAACAGAGTGAGTGCCTCCACAAGACACCTACATGAAAAATAAACACAATCTATCTCAAACTGTTGGAAGGAAACGAGATTATTACGAGCCTGCAGGATTTTTGGAGCAATCGACGAAAGAAATCGATCAAATCAACGATAAAACACATTGCAGTCCGAGTTATTCAGAGGAGTGGCGAGGAATGAACTATAGATAGTACCTGAACAATATCCTCCCCAGCTAAAAGATGAACCCTTTGCGGCACCATTTTACTACTTTTATCATTGTCGCCAAACCCAAGCCTTCCATGTTCTCCTCGTCCCCAACCATACACCTGCAGTCAAATGAAAAAGGCAGAGAAGTAAGGATATCCCACTGACTCAAATGCAGATGTTAAAACGTTAGCAATACCGAAATATTTGAACTATAGCGCGTTGATCTCTAACGGTCATTGGTGTATGTTAGAAGGGAGGAAGGGAGAGAAATCACCTCTCCTTCTTCTGTTAGCGCAGTAGAATGCCATCCTCCAGCAGCAATATCCACCTATACAAGCAAAAATGTTAAAAAAACACACATTATAAACATATGGAAAACGCATTATAAACGTATCGCGTATCATCTAGTTGCAGACGTTCAACTATAAAGTACCAAATTAAGACCAGATAGCCCCTGGACAGGAATAGGTTGTGATCTCGGCTGAGTATCCCCTGTTCCAAGTTGTCCATATTCGTTATTACCCCAAGCCCATAAAGTACCATCCTCCTGCAGAGCCAAATTATGAAATGCCCCAACTGCAATGAGCCTCACTGCATCAAGACCTTGTACACGCACAGGTGTTGAAATTTGTTTTCTGAAAATTAGAAGAAAAGTCCAGGGATGATTGTATGATAAACGACAGTGAGCGATGAGTTCACAAGTACATCCATGCACGTAGCTGTTATAGTATAAAGAGAATTTGATATAGTATGACCTAGAAGGTTGGCTGCAATCTAAGACAGATACTTGAAAACAAGTTGACAGATTCAAGTCCAGGGGCAACATACATGTCTCCAGGAGGCCATGGCTGACCCCATGTCCATACTTGCCCATCACGTGTAAGTACCACAGAGTGAGTACCCCCAGCAGCTACCTGGGATGTGAAAAATTAGAACATGTCAAATACCGTTTTATAGAAGGAGATGTCTCTTGAGAAACAAAAGCATCCTACATCCAAAAATTCCTATCATGCAGTTCTCTAGACAGAGGCATGGGTACCCACCTGGCGGACTTTAAGTTTTGGTGCACAGCGTTGAGGAATCGCTATATCCCTTCTCAAAGGTCTACCAGTGTCATCTTTCCGCTCAGGTTCTTCACCACACTGTCCATACTCATTCCCACCTGCACCAAACAACTTTGTACCCTTAGACTGAGAAAAAACAACTTCCGGGTCTATGTACCACACCTCAAGAAAACCAACCAAAACCTTTACTTGGAAGTTAAACATACTAAACTCCGGCATGGTTTTAAACATGACTTAGAAGCAACCATCTTTTGGCATTTGGCTTAACTGGCTTAAAGGAATACATTCTCTCTTCTATTGGATTCTAAATAATGAAAAACAAGAGACCTTGAAACAATGAAATAAATATTCACAACAACTTAAACAGTAAAAAAAGATTGATCAATTACCCCAGGCGTAAGCACGGCCTTGATCATCGACAGCCAAACAATGCCATCCACCAATAGCAGCCTAGATTTCAAACAACCCCTAATTAATTAAATCCATGGAAAATAATACTAACAAAAAAATTAACTATTTCCAAAGCCAAGCACGGTTATGATAAATTCGAAATTACCTGAACAATCTTGACACTGGCAAGAGCTTTAACCTGGCTTGGAATGTTCTCAGTTTTGGTCTCGGGAGGGTGCCCTAAGGTTCCTCTTTGGTTCCAACCCCATGTAAACAACTGGTAACCCAATTCAATTCACAACACAAAAAATCAAACTTTCAGTGAAACAAAAAATGCAACAAAAATCCAAACTTTCGGTAAATCCAAAACCACAAATTCAAAAAAAATCCAAACTTTCAGTAAACCCAAAACCAAAAGTTCAAAAATTGCAGAATACACACAAACAAACAAGTGAAAAGGGTAGTAATCAAAACAGTGGATGGAGTGATAAAAAGACAAGAAGAAGATGAAAGAGGACCCACCTTGCCGTCATCGCAAATGGCGAGAGAGTTTCGGCTGCCAGCGACAACAGAGCGGATAGTATGCGACTCGAGGGCTTTGACGGCGCACACCCATTCCTTCTCCTCGTTGTTCCCTATTCCCAATTGGCCGTCTTCCCCAGAGCCCCTGTTCACAAAGACAAACAGAATGAACGAAACCTTCTCTACTTTCTCTCTCTAGAATAGCATAACCGAGAGGTGAGAGAAAGAGAGAGCAAATACCAAGTGGCAATGGCAGCATCGGATGCCATTGGAGGCTGAATCAGAGCTTGAATCGAAGCTATTAAAAAGATAGCAGGGAGAGGAGTGACTGTGTTGATCAATACTCAATCGAATAGCATATCGTGTTTGTGTATGATACGTGCGTGTATCTTTATATGTTGTGAAGCGATTTGAGCAGGGGAACCAGATACCAAAAACGCGATGGAACTGGGGCAAACGGCGGCGTTTTGCTTGACCAGTGGAGATAAAAGTTTGCGCGGCAGTAGGTTTTCTAGCCTTTTTTTTTCTTTTTTTTAATTTTGCTTGACAAATTAATCTTTGAATTTGTATCAACTAAATTTTTTTTATGGGAATTGTTACGGGGCACTAAAAAATTCGCATTTTGCACCTCAAATATTATAGAAAGAAAAATACAACAACTCTCTATTTTGTTTGTAAATTTTTTAGTTCAGTTATGCTCTCATGGAAAATTAAAGAAAAACTACAAGGGAAATATCAATTATGGCTCTACGTTATGTTTGGTCATCAACCCTAAACCCTAATTGTCGGTTCGATCTTAAAAGTTTGCACAAAAAAAAAAAGAAATAAGTAGAGAAAGAAGAAAGACAAAAACGAATGGAACTGGATCCCCTCCAGATCCAAGGAATCTGAGCCTACTAATCAATGAATCCGGGACATTGAAATTTGATCCAACAGCTACAAACAGAAACCCCTCTAAAAGTTATAATAATTGTAACTATTAGATCAAATTTCAATGGTCCGTATTCATTGATTAGTGACCTCGATCGTATCCTTTTGGATCCGGAGGGGATCTAGTTTCGAAACGAACAAAGAGTGACGAGTAAGCGTCATGGGAGACACCACCACTATAAAACCGAAAAGATTGGTTTTGGGGAGTGGGGAGCATTCGGTCAGACATGATATGCTTGTTTGTTTTTTTTTCCAGTAGTTTTCATACTCTTCGTTGCTTTAATTTGCCCATAATTCTCATGTGAATCTGGTCGGAAATTAATCAGTTTATTGAAATGCAATGGATTAAGTGGCAACAATTTTAAGAAAATGGTGACCACCACCTTTAGTGATCATCGAAGCCCTTCATTTCTCGCGAGCCACTCCGATAAGATGTCAGATCCAAGAAATGTAAAACATTCACTTCGAGAAACGTCATCGTCTTTGCAACTTTGAGAACCGTCAATGCAACTCCCAACTCTAGAAACTCGCGAATGCCCAAAATGCAGCATACCAACAGGAAGAGAAACAAGAGAAGAAGATAAACATGGAGACGAGTTAAAACCGATTGAGGCACCTATAGCTTCAGTATCAAAACGAATCAAATCGCGACGATAAAGCAGCGGACTCGGTGACTTATCGATTAAGAAGATGTACATGCTCAAGATACAAGAAATCACAAATTCACAAAGCAATAAACTGATTTGTAGAAGCCCAAAACAATGAATTCTAAGGTTGCAAACAATGAAGGTACCAACTTGGGTCAAGCGAATCGGATGTACCCGAAAAACAATCTAGTTGAGAGATGCATAAAGAATACAAGCTCCACAATGTTAAATCTGGTAAAAAAACAACACAAGCCATTGGAAATCTGAAGAAACAGTGAAAAAAAATACACTAATTTTTAACACTAAATCATTTAGCACAGCACTGAAAGCACTGAACCAAATTCTTCTCACCAATTATAAAACGCAATTTTGCGATCTGTTGGAACATTCCAACCCTAGGCTGGAACATTTCAACCCTGAGCGCTGACGCACTCAAGACCGTCAAGTTCATAGGCAAATCCTTCTACAATCCACATGGCATCTATTACAAAGATCCCAAGATAAAAGGGTACATAGTACAAATTCTACGAACCAGAAGCCTCGTTACTGCTGTGCTTCACTGGATTCGCGCTTTGATGCTTCCTTGATTTCGTCCCCGGCATCATCCTAAAACACCAGATAAACAATTACATTTAGAGTACCACAGTTAAAATACTGGAGTGGAACTTAATCATCGAACAGCATTGGATGAATACAAATTTAAATTATTGGTTACATCATTGGTATCACTAGAATGATGCATCCCGATCTCAAGACCCCCGTTCCTTTCTCCCTTGTGGAGTAAATGAAAAAAGTACCACCAACCTTAACTCTAATAAATGATCCATACATGGACATGTTCAACAAGGTAGGGAGGGAGGGGGGAGAGATAAATCTAATATACTTTAAATGTATACATTCGTTCATGTACATGCATCACGAGGGAAGGAGGATGAGAGAGATACCGTGATATCGGAAGTCCAGAGTGTCAGATTGTCTCGGAGAAGCTGCATGATCAAAGTGCTATCCTTGTAGGATTCCTCACCCAATGTGTCAAGCTCAGAAATAGCCTCATCAAAAGCCTGTGGGAAGACGTAGCAAAATTGAGTTTAAAAGCAATACACTAAACATCCAATTCTCAAGTTTATTTGAAACCTGCAGTCACAAAGAAACTTGTACTCGACCAGAAGGAAGAAAATAATCATTTTACAATAGCGTGTTTAGTTCACTTAACAAACCAAATGTTAGAAAGCAAAACACATATACCAAATTCATGCACTGAAGATACACGAATGGTTAAACAACCCCTAAATAAGAAATGTATAACACTCATACAGAAATTCTGGAGCATGAATTGCTAATTTGTAACATGTTACATAACAGCTAAAACTCAAAAGTTCACATCCAGATTGTATATTCACTACAAGTCCAATGTTCTCTAAATTATCCCACCAAACATGATGGCTGCTATTCTTGAAATGGGTGAGAGTTCATTTCTTCCAGTATATGTAGTGATACCTATTAATTAACCCATCAAGCATGATCAAGAATCTGACCTAAACAAAGTTACGAGTGGAAAGGCTTTTTAAAATTTGAGCCAAGAAGTAGAAATTACTTGGGAAAGAAGTATTCAGAGAGTATAAAAGTGAGTGATTAAAGGACGACTCGCCATTTCTCATAGAACATGTGGCATAACCAGATAAATCAAGTATTTCTTAATTTATGAACCAACTAATACCTTCAAAGAAATTTGCAACCAAATGTCTTTGGAAAAGAATTTCTCACCAAGCATGTAAATTTCAGGAACACTAAAGCCAAACATGGCAACTCAACAAATTCATAAAGAATCATAAAAACGGGGCAACATGTTAACAATGAAAATAGGTTATGTAATTTCACTGAATATGTACCACTCTATATTAATTTTAAGCAACAAATACCACTAAATAATTTAGTCACACAGACTAGAATGCACACAAGTAAAGACAACAAAATGATAGCAAATATAAGGCCTTGCATACAAACCTGTTTTGCCAGATTGCAAGCACGATCTGGTGAGTTAAGGATTTCATAGTAGAAGACTGAGAAGTTAAGTGCAAGTCCAAGCCTTATCGGGTGGGTTGGAGCCAGCTCAGCCAGGGCAATATCCTACATCAAAGAAAACAAAACAAGCTTAAGGATCACTACAAAAAACACAAGCACAATTACAAATTAAAAGTGGCAGAATGGCAAGCTGAAAGCCAACCTGAGCAGACTTGTAAGCCAACAAAGTGCTCTCAGCTGCTTCCTTTCTTTCGCCTCCAGTCTTAAACTCAGCAAGGTACCTGTGGTAATCACCTTTCATCTTGAGGTAAAACACCTTGGACTCGGCGGATGAGGCAGATGGAATGAGGTGAGACTCAAGAAGGTTCAAGATCCCATCACAGATCTTGCTGAGCTCAGTCTCAATCTTGCTCCTGTACTCCTTGATAATCGCAACATGATCCTCATTCCCTCTGCTCTCCTCCTTCTGCTCAATGGAAGATATGATCCTCCACGAAGCTCTCCTAGCTCCAATCACATTCTTATAAGCCACAGAGAGGAGATTTCTTTCCTCCACTGTTAGCTCCTCAACATCGACAGTCTTGGCAACTTTCTCCATAAACTCGACCATCTCCTCATATCTCTCAGCCTGTTCGGCCAACTTGGCCATGTACACATTCTCCTCGCGTGAAGAATCAGTTGGCGGCATCTTTGCTATGTAAGCCTAAATCTGAAACCTGGGAATTAATCCAACAAATGACAAATCAAATCAGCGATCTCTGTTCATATGGTTACTCAGATCTGCCAAAGCAAACGCGATACACAGTTGAATTAGTAACAGAGAAGTAAAGCCATGTTAATTCCATAAAAGCCTATAAAACAATTAAGCATGCTAACTTCAGACCTCTACAAGAATTTTCTCAGCAAACAAACAGATCAGGATCCTAATTCAGTTATCGCAAAATCAGATTAGACCAATAAATCTCACTCCCAGCTTAACCAAATAGTAATTTCCAAGCTTCTAACTTCAGTAAAACCAGATAAAAAAAAAATCCCAAATTTCTTATCCCACTTTCAAAAAACACTTCTTTATTGATGATAGAATGAAAGAAAAACACTTCCACTTCCCCAGCAACCAAACAAGTCACAACTCGAAAATCAAATACCAAACAGCTTAAATCAAATCAGATCCAACCACCAAACATAAAGTCAATATCTTTTCTATGCCAAAAAAAAAAAACTGAACTCTATACCTTAGATCTTAGACAAGCAAATCATCACACAAACAGAAAATCAACAACAAAAAATTAAAATTGAAATCAAATCAGGAAAAATCAAACCCTGAGTAGTTCTTGAGAAGCTGGGGGCGTCCGTACCTTCTCTGGTCCACGAGGAAGAAGAAGATCTAAGCTCGAAGCAAAACTGGAGGAAATGGGAATCCGGGTGGGGGCATAAAAATGGTCGCCACTAGGAAGGGGTAGGGAGGTAGGTCCAATAGCAAGAAGACACGTGGTGGATGACGGAGATTCCGTAGGCTTTTTTCAATTTTTGGGGAGTGGCCACGCTGGCGTTGACGGTCAACGCAAGCTCCTTCCCCAGTCCTCACCCTCTTGGTTTGTCGACATGTCGTTTGATATTATTGCTGATGCCTGCCGTGCGTTGTGAGCTGCAGGTGTTGGGCCTCGTTGTGGGGACGGACGGACGGCCGTACTTGACGGTGTCGAAATCTAATTAATAATTAAAAGAAAACTAACGAAAAGTTTAAAAAAAAATTAGTTTTAATAAAAATTGATAAATAAAGGTGTAATGAATAGTATTAAAAAAAGATAAAATTGTAGTTTTTCGTTAAAAAATAAACAGTACTAAAAATGTTTTGTTAAAACTCTTCTTAATTAAAGAAGTGCTGACGCTGTTTTTGTTTTTCAGTCAAATGTTCAATAATTGGCATAATTGGGATTTGGTGAAAAGCACCTTCGTTCTTAATTGTGTGTTTAATGGCTTGCTTTTCCTTGTCAATTACGTGTTTCCATGTCATAAAATTTCTTATGAAATTTGTTATTGACACTTGTCAATCTAAAATGTTCTCTTAGTCTCACGTATGAGGTTAATTATTTCAAACATGTGAACAAAAATAATTGTTTTAACTAAAATGGTCTATGAGATTATCATAATTTCTCATTTTGGTATTTGGGATTTGAAATTGATAAAAGTGATCCCTGAGTTTATCTACTATCAATCATTTTGGTCATTTCGTGAAAAATCTATATTAAATAAGGACTAAAGCAGCAAAAATACCCTCAATTTAATAACAAATTACCAAAATGATTTTACAAAATTCGAGTGTATTTTGGTATTATGGTTTATTTTGGCTAGAAAACCAACAAAATATATAAGATGTCATAGAGGTAGAGCATGTATCATTAATGAGACTTATCACGTATGTTACATTCCGGCCTGGGCCCAAATTTCGGGAATCCCGAAATATTTTCGGGATTTTGGGACAAATCGGGAATCCCAAATTGAAATATGAAATTATGAATTGTTCTTCAAATATATAATTCAAGAACACATTCATGAACTAGGAATTTCATTTCATTCACACTACCATTTAATTGAACACTGGCATGCTTGACTCTTTTTATCATAGTCAAAATTCAAATTAATTAAACCCTTTTTGCAATCTGTTGAGAGACAAAAGAATCAAGCCTTCTGAAATCATCAGCCATGGCAGCAGAAATAATAAAATCCACATGAATATCAAACAGAACATGAAAAATATGCAAGGTGTAGGGCATTCTAGGTTGCTGAGCATGAATTAGAAACTACTAGCATCAATTATAAAAGAATAATATATATATATATGTATAAATATATATAATAATTAATATTATATATTTTCGGTTTGGTATGGGATTCTCGAAATATCGAGAAGCCAATCCCGAATCCCATACCGAAATTTTGGGATTGGTTCGGGATAGCATCTCGAAAATTTCGGGAATTTCGGTTTGGGAAATTTTTGGTTTGGGATCGGGATTTTTTCGGTTCGGTTCGGGATTTTCGGGAATTTTTTCCACCCCTATATTTTGGTATTATGGTTTATTTTGGCTAGAAAACCAACAAAATATATAAGAAGTCATAGAGGTAGAGCATGTATCATTAATGAGACTTATCACGTATGTTACATTCCGGCCTGGGCCCCCACCACATTCCCGGCTTGACTCCACCGTAACACGATATTATCCGCTTTGGGCCCTGACCACGCCCTCACGGTTTTGTTTCTGGGAACTCACACGAGAACTTCCCAGTAGGTCACACATCCTGGGAATACTCTCGTCCCCGAACTCGTTTAACTTCGGAGTTCCGATGGAACCTGAAGCCAGTGAGCTCCCAAAAGGCCTCGTGCTAGGTAGGGATGGGAATATACATATAAGGCTTACAAGATCCACTCCCCTGGGCAATGTGGGATGTTACAACGTAGATAACTGTTGTAATACCAAGAAAGAAATTGAGATTCCACTTTAAAATAACTAGCATCAGAAGAATACTTAACACACTACAAGCTCTTGCATTGTATTTATTATCTCTAATACAAGATTCACACTCTTAATACTATTATTGATACTTCCAGAAAATCATCATACCATCTCTAATTCTTAAAACCCTTGGCACAGTGGAATAAATAAAATAAGACACAAAATTTACGAGGTTCCTCTACAGTCAGTGTGACTGGAGTACGTCATTCGAGCAGCAATGGTGCTTTCATTATAATTTAGAATAATAGTAGTACTAAATAACTCTCTATGTTATCTCTTCTCCTCTTCTTCTCTTTTCTCTCTTCCTCTTCATGAACTTATTGCTTTGATGTTGTGTGGAGTTTGTATTTTATAGAAAATAGGAGTCGTATGAGGCAAGCTTCGGCAAATAATGGAATGGCCCATTATTTTATTCTTTGAGTGGACATCCATTGTTCTATAACACTCCTCATTGGATGGCCATAAGTCTTCGATTGACTTGTTAAAATCTTTGATTTGTTTTTGGATACTCCCCCTAATGAGTAGTATCATATATGTTATGCTTGTTGACTTTCCACAAGCTTGTTCTTGAATTGGGCTGGAGGGTCTTCTGCTAGACTTCCTCCAAATGTCTAAATTTACTTCATTTATCTGGAGCTAAATTCGATCCAAGGGTGTTGGACACTTGATCTTGAATCGGACTTATGATTTCCTTAAAGGCATTGGGACTTGTTCTCGAATGAAATGGGACCACGAGCAGCTCTACGTAACAAGTGATCTTCGGCTCCCTCGGGGATGAATTGACACATGTTTTGTTGTGCTTGTCTCCACATGCTTCAATGTATCATATTCACTTGCCTTATTTGTTCCCCTTGCAGAAGTAGTATTTTCCCTATGCAGGTGTGACATCTTCTCTTACAGTATTTGTCCCCTGATTCAGAAGTGGAATGCAACCCATGCATTTGAATAGTCATTCAGAACATCACATCTCAGTAACTCATCATGCTTAACAGCTTCAGTGTAAATAACCAACATCATAGCAACAGTTGAAAATGAGTACTTGAGAGTAATGCAAGGTAAGCAACCAGACAAAGGTTCCGGGCAATCAATTCCAGATCGGGAGCTTGATTCCATATGGTGACTAATTGCTCTTTTTCTCCTTATCATGCAAGTGAGAACAAAGACAAAGGAAATGACAGGGAGATTGCATAATATGAGATCTCTTACTCTCGTCCCTGATGATATAAGATACTATTGTTATGGTGTGACTTGTTTGAAAAGGTATTCTCGAAGAAGAAGAAAACTGAATATTTCAAGATGCTTTGTTAAAGATGCATTATCGGAGATGAGGAAAAGTTAGGTATTCTTACAGGTCTGCTTTGTTATGGAGAACAGAGGCCAACATATATAGAGATTTTCCAATAGCAAGTAGTGGTGTTGTGCCTTTACTCTTGTTAGAAATTGTGGTGTAATTAGAACAGTAAGATTTACACGTTTTCAACTTTGTCAGAAATCTTTGACAAAGTTGCACGTGATATCTGAAAAACTGAGATTACGTATGAAAAATGTTGATGAACATTGATCCAGGAAATCCGGCTTTTGAAATTCGTAGAGCGGTGCCTTTTCGATCTCCGGACAAATGGCTATGTTGCCTCTTCTTTTTATAGAGGCATCAATTGTGCTCAAAATGCATGCTCGAAAAATTGATGTATGTAGAATTTTCCCCTTCTTACACTTTTGAGATTTTATCTAATCTCATTTTTCCTTCATCATTTCTGAAAATGGTTTGCCCATCTAATATTTGGTTAGATTTGACTCTTAGGAATGATACAGACGAGCAGCGTCAAGATAATATATGGCGCCCGTCTTTCTTATCTTCTAATGGTCCTTTTACGGTTAGGGATTCTGTGATAAAGAATAACATAACCGTTACAGTGGTAACTAGGAATCTTCTCACTCCAAAGGATAACAGAATTCTTTCAAAACGGTCTGATGAGTCGGCCGTTCAAGACTCATTGACTCTCAGCGTTCAGTGTGCTGCCTCTATTTCCAATATGGGTCAACGCCTACTTGCTCGAACTCGCCAAGTTGAATCATTGATAGCTGAGGTGGCAAGTCTTAAATAAGAGATCAGATGGCTCAAGCACGAGAATAGAGTGTTACACATGCTTACAAATAATTACTCAACGAGCATGAAAAGAAAGCTTCACCAGCTGTTGGAATCCGAAAGTCTGACTCAAAGTGACAATCAGAGTTTCGAGGCTTTATTCTAATAGCACCTATTGCCTTCGTCATCCGGAGTTTTACCAAGTATAGAGGCTTCAAATAATCAACCTCTGGTGCCTCCCCTTTCTAGGGTACTTCTGAGTACTGAGGCATCACATGAGTAACCTTTGTGAAGGTTCCATCCTATTTGTTTTAACTCATGTGTATGTACATGTCTGTAATTTCTCTGAGATATCAATAGATAAGTTTTATTTCATTCAATGTATTGTGCTAAATACAATAAAACATATACTTCACTAAGATGTGGTACTTCTGGACTAAATATCAATTTATCTTTACCCTCGCGAAGATAAATGATCATTCTTAGTGTCTAAATCATTTGAGTATTCAACTCATAATCTTCAATCCATATGATTCTTTAATATCATAAACATCATGAATAAAATTCGTGTTGGTAGATTGTTCGATCTGCAGTTCGAGACAATATTTCTAAACTCTTCAGGAGTCCTAATATAATGTCATCGACTATTGCAAGAGATTTTAGTATGTTGCAACAATATCATAGTGATAGTACTCACTAAGGCAATTTATATCATCCATTGGTATTGAGTACATAATTTATGTTTTACCTTTTCAGGGCTTTCTTCAAGCAATTTGAATCTTTCAGGGATTTTCTACACTTTATGACACATTTTCTTTTGAAATTTATACAGAGCAATTTGCTCCCATGTATTCTTGAGGG